ATATATATATATATATATATATATATATATATATATATATATATATATATATATATATATATATATATATATATATATATATATATATATATATATATATATATATATATATATATATATATATATATATATATATATATATATATATATATATATATATATATATATATTGATATATTTATATATATAAAAGGTACAGTTGTGTAACATTGACACATCTTTAGGAAATATACTTTTTCTCTTGATGTGATAAATATATTTTTAAGTGTGTACCAATAATATTGCTGCCATAAACTGATAGACAATTTACCTGATTTTTTTGTTGGCCTGCAACTGTCAATGTTACCTTCTATATGGGGTAACATTAATATTAGTAAACTTTATGACGTAAATGTCAATAACTCAATATCTGGCTATAACAAAATCTTTCAGTGTTTTAATTTTTTGCTGGATTTCTTTGTGACAGACTTTTTAGTGTTTGGTTTAATTTCTGAAACAACAAGTTAACTTTTTAAATCTTTTGGGTTTATTTTTTTTTCCCGTAGCAGTATTATGCAAAATTATTTGGTTTCTGCAAGTTTCTGCAATTTCTGCAAGTGTCTGTCTTTAAATCTGTTGACACTTTATGTATTGGTACTTTTGAGTTTAACTCTTTTAATTTAGTGCTGTTTTGTTTAGTTGTGAAATATTAATTAGATGTAAGACATTCTGAACTTTTGCTTAATTTTTTGCCCATAGGCCTTTTTGTCAATGTTACCCCAAAATTGAAATATGCATTTAAGAAAAAAAATGCTACAAAAAAATCTCAAATAATTTGTATTTAGAAACAGCATCATAAAAGCACATGTAAAATGATATTATGGTATGGTTTTACTTTTTTTTTAACTAAAGTTTTTCTGCAACAACAAAAAAATAGAAATTAGTTTAATTTATGCTTGCTGTATTGTGTTGTTATTCATACTTACTATTATGGGGATAAAGATAGTTATATTTGTTCATTCAACATCTGGCTACAACATCTGTTAAAACAATTTGAACAATAGTCAACGGGTGATAAGTAAAAATATTTAGTCTAACGCATGTCAATGTTACCCACATGTCGAAGTAAACATATAAATATATTAAGCATTACTTAATATATTTACATGTTTAGTAATTTTTCAAAGTACCTGAATTATTTAGAATTTTTTAAATTATACAGAATTTCAGTTTGCGAGTTTATGGATTGTTCTGCAATCCAAAACTCAATATTAACAATTCTTTCAAAATATATTCAAAATATAGTATAGTAATATACTATATTTTACAATAATACAATACATTTATAAATATCATATGCAGTAAAATAAATATTTATGTAAAGCAATTATTCAAAAAAAGCACTGATTTCCATGTGCTATGGATATTCTCTGTGAATAAAAACTAAAATTTATTTGCACAGTTTATAGACCCTGGTCAATAGGCTTAAAGACCCAATCTTCAAAAATTCTACCTCAAAAATTCACAGATTAAACACATTTAAAATATGAAAGTTAAAAGGAAAATTAAAAAAAAAACAAAACGTTTTATTTATCTTTTGTAAATTTGTATGATTATCTTAAGTTTAAAAAAAAAAAAAGATGTGTTCAAGCATTTAGGACACTGAATTTTAGTTTCTTAAAAAGGAACTGATTTTTACAACATTTTATTAAACAAATATACATAACAACTTACTATATTGTTACTGGATTCTTATTAAGAACTTTATTCTAAGAATTATTTTTATTGTAATCTCGTTTTTTATTTATAGAAATAAAATTTTGTGCTTGTAAGAAGAAGCTGTCAAAAAATAAAAACACCACACAATTTAAGAACAACAGATAGCTTCAAATGTAAAATAAAGTTCTTATTTGATATTAGTGTGAATAGTGTTCAACAAAGAATGTCAAACAAAAAGAAAGTCACTAAAGAGGAAATAAATGACGATACAAAATTTTTGAATGACCAACAAAGAGACCATAATACTGTGATAGGTGGAATCATCAAGAAATACTTTTTTGCTGTTTGTAGAAAGCAAAAGAAAATTGAATTTACCAAGAAGAGAGTAAGTACTTCAAATAATAAAATAAGATCAGAAATTATAAGCAAGTAAATGTTTCAGAATGTTTTTAGTTTAAAAACAGATTTCATTTTTACTATTTCATGTTGCTTTCAATTGTTTATAAATAGTATTGTGACACCATGTTATACTGAAAGCCTAAAAATAGTTTCATGACACCTTGTTATGCATAAAGCCTGAAAATAGTTTTGTGACAAAAGCCTAAACCTTTTTTATAAAAGGTTTAGGCTTTAATAAAAGTTTTAGTTTTTGTTATAAACAAAGCCTAAAAATAGCTTTGTTGAACTAATTTGTTGAATGAATTATTTATTGAATTTCTATTTTTTTAAATATTTTTTCTAACAATTACGGTCTTGCCAAAGCGTAATAAAAATGAATATTTTAATAATTTTGTGCTCAACAAAATACTATTTTTTAATAGTATTTCTTAATACCCTTTTTTAAAAAAAAGTAAACTATTTATGGAAACATTATAGTATTGCATAAATTGTTTTATATTGTATTTTTATACTGATGCTATGCTGTTAAATATTTGATGTGTGATTTAATGATCAAAGGTTAATCTTATATTTTAAATTATACTAAAGCATGAGATCGTTAAATTTGGAACAATGAATTTTGTTTTAAAACTTGTCACTAACACATTACTAAATTATTACTAACACACTAAATTTTTTTTTTTGTGTAATTACATTAAGTAGTTACAGTAATAATTAAAAACTTCAACAAACGAGTCATAATGTTTGTATTAAACGAGTCAAAATACTTCTATTAATTAAAATGTCATTAAAGACAAAAAAAATTATGTACAATTATTTTTCAAAATCCTTCTGCATTATTACTTTCAATCGCTAAAGCATCTGAATCTAGCAAAACTACTGTTTATATGATCATAAAACAATACAAGAGCTCTCTATCTATTGAACGAGCAAAAGGATCTGGAAGAAATAGTGGCTTTAAGAATAAGAAAGCAGCAATTAGTATTCAACTATCATTTATGCAAAATCCTGGCTTATCGAGTAGAGAGCGAAAATCAGAACATCAAAGAATACTTGCAAGCTAGACTTTTGCAACTTTATCAAAGTCACGATGTCCCCTGTTGATTCTGGCCTAACCTTGCTTCTTGTCATTATTTTAAGAAGAGTGGTAAAGTTCAAGAGACATCTAATTCATACCAAAAAACTTGAATCCATCAATATGTACACAGTTCCAATTCATTGAAAAATTTGGGGGAATTGGCAAAGGATATTTGCATAAGACTGGCAAAATAATAAATACAGCTAAGGATTTGATTAGAGAATGGACATTAGTAGGAAAAAAAAAATTGCCAAAGACACTGTGCAGAAGTTGATGTCGTTGATTAGCGCAAATGTTTGTTTATTTATTTGAAATAATGAAAAATATTAAAATAAAAAACACTTTTATAATCTTCAAGTTTCTTAGATTAAAATTTTTTTAATAGTTTTTGCATTAGTTGAACTATTTTACTTTTTTTTTTGAATTTTTTATCGTTTTGAATTTAACGATTGCATATTTTACCCAGTGGGCACGAGACATACAAATGAGGTCTTTTAAACATCTTTGGAACATTTTGAACGTCTTTTGAACGTTCAAAATACTTCTTTTTTACTTAGTGAAGATGTAAGAAAGATGTCTTTTAAATGTCTTTTGAACACTTTTGATGCCTTTTAAACATTTTGGATGTCTTTTTGGATGGACATTCAAAAGACATCTTCTTTAGGTACCGTGCCCCCTGGGTAGAATTAGAACTAAAATTTGAACTAAAAACTCTAGTTATTGGTAAATAATATATAGAAAAAGTGTTATAAATTGGAAGACACCAATACTGCCAAATGAAAAAACTTTTAATACTTCAAAACTGCTAGACAGAAAAGTAGTTGTTAGACATTAGATGTTAGACAGAAGATTAGACGTTAGACATTAGAAAAGTACCCAAAACATTTTTTCTTTTTAAATATAATATCCGGTAGTAGAGTAGTGATGGTAATACAATAACCTTGTAATCATTAGAGTTGATAAAAAATTAATTGCTGTAATTGGTATAGATTTGTTTTAGCAAATAGATTTGTTTTAGCAAAATGTCCAAAACTTGCGATTTTTTTTCATAAAGTTCGAGAGCCGGAGCCTAGCCAGATATTTCTTAGGAGCCAAGCTTTAAAAAAAACAGCTTCCACAAGCCTGGTTATACATAAAGCTTAAAAATAGTTTTGTGACACAATATTATATATAAAGCCTAAAAATTATTGAATTAAATAGTTATTGAGTCTTACTTGAAAATACAGTTTTCAAAAAAATTCAACAGTGCTTTTTTGGAAATAAACTAGAAAGTCAATGCCATCTGACAACATATACTGTTGCTTGGAATTAATCTTTTAAAGATATTCCTGGATATAAAAAAGAGATATTAATGTAGAAAACTTGGCTAACAATAATCAATGTAAAATTAACAATTTGTTTCTACCATAAACATGTATATTAGAAGTACTACTCAATTAATATGGCTCTATCCATTTAACACCATAACAAAGTTATAAAAGGTATTTAGCATTGACATATTTATTTTGCAAATTTATAAAAGTGTCGAGAACTATAATAATGAGAATCTTTGTTATATATTTTTGGTAAGTTTATTTTTAACTGAAAGTGCAGAATCAAATACCAGAAAACTTTGTTGTTTATATATGTGCATCCTGTTAGACAATATTATAGTAAACTCACACATTAATAGCTTCCTTTGATTTCTGCTGCATTATACATTATACATTTCTGTATATTTTTGTACATAAAAAATAAAAAGTTAACATAAAAATTGAAACTAAAGCATTTTGAAAATAATTAAAATATAGATTATTTAAACTTAAACAAACATATAATAACATACTTGTATATATATATCAGCCAGAGATAACCATACTTTTTCAAAATCTTCTGCTTCCTATATAAAAAGTACAAAACTATTGTAATTTGTTGTAAATAATTTGTTCTATATAATTTGTTGTATATAATTTGTTGTATATAATTTGTTGTATATAATTTGTTGTATATAATTTGTTGTATATAATTTGTTGTATATAATTTGTTGTATATAATTTGTTATATATATATGTTGTATATTGTTGTATGTTGTAATTTATTGTATATTGTAAAACTGTTGTAATTTTAAATACAAACTATTTTTGATTTAAAACCTTTACATTATGCAATAAGGGGTCGTCCACATATTATGTCATGCAATTGACTGTTTTTTACCAACTCCCTTCTCAACCGTATCACAAAATCATAACTCTTTAGTAGCAAGTTCTATATGAGCTGTCACAAAACCATTTAAGCCCCCCCCCCCACCTAAAGACTGACACTCACTTACTGACAGACTGTGTTTCTGTCAGTTTGTGGCGTTCAAGCAAAGAAAAAATTTACCAAATTAAAACCTAAATTGATGTAGTGAACTGCAAGATTTATGTACAAATCATTTATTTAGCTTGTCTAAAAATCTGTAATCAACTCTAGTTACTTTAAGGAAGTTTTTGTTAAGTTGGGGAAATAATCCCTACTTTATTTTTTTAGTTTAAAATTTTTGTTATATGTTAATACAGACTTGATTTTGAATCTTTATTTGCTTCATTATCTAAACCTTCAAAAAGTAAACCAAGCTAGATATAAACCTTTTCAAACCTAAATTAAACTTTAATGGAATTGTCTCATTTTCTTTATCAATTGTTTTTTAAATAATTCACTTTTCATTAAATGTTCTTTCAAATATGCTTCATGTTTGGTTTTGACATGAATAGTAATTGTTGAAGTATGAAGAAATGATGAAGTATGATACTTATTTAATTCTAAAAATCTCTAAATATCACTTTGATTTGGAAACATATATGATTTGAATTAAAACCAACATAAATGTAAACATAGATAAGTATAAACTTAATTTTAAACAGTAACATGCAGTAACTCACATTATTATTTTTCTATCAAGATCCACAAATCTGGTTTCATTTTCACAGCATACTAAACAATAATGATGAAAAAATAGAACAAGAAGCCATTACAGAGTTGCAGGCCAAGGTTAAAGGTTATTTGGTAGTATGGTTAAGAAACAAATATTCTTCAACTTTATTTAGTTGCTTTTCTATGTTTACTTAAATAGTGTTATTAAAAATATGATTTTGTTTACAATTTTAATTTAATTTTTTTATTTGACAAAAATAACCCAATTTCTTGTAAATAAAAAGATTAATATACAAAAAAGAAGCTTTTAAGATATTGGTTATTCAATGAATTATTTCAAGATATTGATTCATATGTTTTACTTTTTTTTTTAATATTCAAAATAATTTGACCAGTTCAGTTTGATTCAGTTATTTATCATGATTTTAATATAATGAACAGTTTCTTTAATTGCGTGACTTTAGTCACTCAATACCACAAACCCCCAGAAAAAATGTATTTCAAATATTTACAAATATATTTAACTATATAGCTATTATCAAAATATCACAAAACTTGGATAATAACATACCTCTGGATTCCATGTCATTTTGGCAAGACGTTTTAGTTGATTACGAGCTTTTGGAGATTGCTTTAAAAGCATAAAACATGTAGACATGGCTAATAGCGCTGGTACACAATCTTTCTGTATAAAAGTAACTGATATCAAGATAAGTAAATTATATATTATACTAATAATATTAATACCTATAAAGTTAACTTAGTTAAACATAATTAAAAAATTTTAATTTATTTTTACATTAGCCTCCACAATTTCTGTAAGATTAAATAAAGCTTTTTGAACTATGCGATTATCCTTGGTAGCTATCAGCGTTTTGTTTTGTAGAACTTTAAACTTCAATGATTCTTGTGATTTAATTTCCTAAAATTAATAGAAAAAAACTTAATAGAATACATTTAAAAACTTAATTATAAATGATATAATAATTTTTTCACTTGATGAACCATGTTTTTTAACTTCACTGCCAGGTTTGAAATCTCTTTGCATCTATTTTTTTTGTTTGTTGTTTAAAAATCATAAATTCGTTAAATAAAATGATAAGATAAAAAAAGACCATAGAAATAGATAAAATAAAATTTTTTTTCGAAAATTTTTTAATTACATATCATTTTATTATATAGACCCCCCCCACACACACACGCACACACAAACACACACACACAAATATATATATATATATATATATATATATATATATATATATATATATATATATATATATATATATATATATACATATATATATATATATATATATATATATATATATATATATATATATATATATATATATTAGGGTGAGGCAAAAAACAACTTTTTTAAAAATAGTCTCCTGCTCTTAACTAAATGTGTTCTATATAATACAAAAACACTAGGTTCAAAAATTTTTTTCAATAAAAAATATTTTTAGGGGTGCCTTAAGACCCTTAAAAATTTGATGGGTCCCTAATTTTTGAAAAAAATAGTTTTTCTAAAGTATGTCAACCTGGTACTCAAAAGAAGCGAAATTATATAAAAACATGAAAAATAATAATCAATTTACATAAAAAACATGTTTTATTAAATTATTTTAGAAAAACTTGAAAATATTGACTTTTTTTATTACCACCTTAAAAACAATAGTTTTTAGGCAATTATACCTAAAAAAATATTTATATGTAAATTGATAATTATTTTTGAAGTTTTTATATAACTTTGCTTCTTTTGAGTACCAGGTTGACATACTTTAATAAAATTTTTTTTTTCAAAACAGGGACCTGTCAAATATTTGACAGGTCCCTAATGTTTTGAAAAAAAAATTTTAGACCAGAAAACCGAGAATATAGTTAACAGTAAACAAAGAATATTGTTAAAAACCAGAAAGCAGAAAATATTGTTATCAGTAAACAAATAATATTGTAAAAGACCAGAGAACATAGATTATTGATACCAGAAAACAAAGAATAAAAAAACAGCTTAAAAAAAATGTAAATTGTATAAGTTGAGATAACATAAAGACAGGAAAGAAACTTTTTTATGGAAAAAAACTTTTTTTCCCTCAAAAAATTTTAAAGCATAGAGTTAACTGAGTTAGAGATTGCAAAAAGTAAAACTTTATAGCCTTCAGGGCATTAATGTCCTGATAAGCATTAAAATCAACAATAAGAACAATATTGGCTGAGAAAGAAAGAGAAAGGACTAGGTTAATTTGACCTGTTGTCAGATCTGAAGACGTTCTAAGGTGATCAGACTGAAATATCGCATATATAAATTAAAAATAAGTACTTAGCTGTGTTTTATGTTTTATATATCAAGGAAAAACAAAAGATATTTGTTAAACGACAGCTAAAAAAAATATGTTTGCTATTTGTTAAGTTGTTGCATATAATTTTCTATGAAATTAGTAATTTTTATAAATACCTTCAAATTTGCAATTTAAATTTAATCACGCAGTAATAAATAATTTAATTTAAATGTTTTTCGTTGGCCACACATATGGCAAACCACCCCTCTCCCCCATGTGATATTTAAATTTCCCCCATGTGAAAAATTTAAATGAATCTCACAGAGCAAGTAGATTGGGTGAATTTTGCAAAATATTTTATTAAAAAATTACTTCTTAGATTTATTGTATGAAAATTAATTAAATTAAAAATTGAAAAATCTTAGAGTAATTAAAGTAAAAAAAAAGTAATTAATTATTAATTACTTTAAAACTTTAAAGTAATATTTGTGAATATTACAAAAAAAAAAATTGGTCAAATTAGAAAGGAAAAATTAAAAGAATTGTTCAAATTGATTTTTATATGGAAAAAACTTTTTTTATCAATATTTTTAAACATTTACATTTTTAATTAGCAGAGATTTGACGCTATTATAGATACTGTATTATACCCTAAATAGTTGCACCCTAAATAGTTATACCCTAAATAACAGGCAGTTGCACTAATCCTTCTAATCTGCAACTCTTCTACTCGACCACCTTTCTTTTTTTCTTTGACTCCTTTTTCCTTAGAACAGATAGCCATAATCATTTCTTTCTTTTAGAAACTTTAGAAAAGAGGGTCTCTCTTAAATTTTCTCAGGATTACATTGTAAATGTTTTTATCAATTATTCAATTAACCAATTATCAATCTTGAGTGACTTATCATTCAGAAAAACCCATCCTTTTATTATATACAATAACATACTCAAAAAACATTGGTGTGGTGGAATTTTCTCCCGTTTTTATGTTTTTCTGATTTATACAATTTACAATTTTTTACAATTTACATTCTTCTGTTAAGTGCTTTCTTGTTCTTTGAATCTCTCTTTTTTCTGTTACTTCCCAAACTAATTGTTTTTAGTTATAACCTTGCTAACTCCCAAATTAATTAGTGGTTGATTTTAAGCTTGTAAGGAGTAAATTAATTAGTGGTTGATTATAGCCTAATTACTAATAATTAGGAGTAAATTAGTTAAAATGCTTTAAATAGTTTTCAAATAACACCTTTTTAAAGAGTTAAAAAAATAACAAAAAAATACATTTAAAAACATACGCTTAACAGTTTTTCAGCTGTTTTTAAAGCCATTTGATCAGAATCTACTTTTTCGGTTTGTCTATAAAAAAATATGTGTAATAAAATACATATTAATTAATCCAAATATGTGAACTTTTGCTAAGTTTTAGCTTACTTTGCGCCATTATCAACTGATTCAAAAGTTTCTCCTCCTAGAAAAAAAATAGAATAAATTTAATTTTATTCTAAAAAACAACAAAAAAATAAAAATTCTGCAACATAACTGTACTATAACAAGTGAAGAAAATATTTATACAAAACATTAAAAAAAATATAAAAAAACTCTCATTGTCAAGTATATGAAAAACATTGTCAAGTCTATAAAAAATACCCTCATTGTCAAGTCTATAAAAAATACCCTCATTGTCAAGTCTATAAAAAATACCCTCATTGTCAAGTATATAAAAAATACCCTCATTGTCAAGTATATAAAAAATACCATCATTGTCAAGTATGTAAAAAACCATTATAAAAATGTATTATACAAAACCATTTAAATTTACAAAAGAATGATCTTTGTAAGAGCTTTCTTTTTAAGAGTTTTTCAAGTTTTTTGCGACATAAGTGATTGAACATGGGTTTCCAAAATGGTGTTGTCGCATAATCACCATCATCTCTGTTAAGACCACTGTCAGGAAAGGTACTTTCATTGTGTTGTATTTCCAATACTTCCTTAACTTTCCTGTTAAAACTATTTACTTCTATTTTTAAGATAATGTGATCATTCCAGTGGAAATTTCCTTGGCAAATTTTGGAGTGTTAAGCTACAGCTGAATTCCCTGAATATTGTACACTTGTTTGATGCTGGCGTATCCAAGACAATATCTCTTATCTTGTATACTAACATAAGATTTGTCAAAAGAGCACTCAAATTTGTAAAAAGCGGGATATGAATTAACTGGTATAGGTTTATTTTTGGGACTAAGTAGACTATTAAGTAGATCTAAAAACTTTTTCACATCTTCTTCTAACTGAAACCTTGAATGTTTGTCATCAACATATCTTTTAAATGTTGTTTGGATGGATGTTAAGCGCCATTGAAGAAGCATCACTTTCATGATATTGTAAAAAACACTGGGCATTACTTTCATGATATTGTAAAAAACACTACCACCATAAAAGCTAACCCAATTGGTTCGGAGTTTTTGAGCTCATGAATATTATTTTCATATATATATATATATATATATATATATAATCTTTCTTTACTAACTACAATATACAAACCATAAATAATTATTAATTATAAATCTTAACATGAATTATTAACTATAAATCTTAACATAAAGTCAAGTGAAAATAAGTGTTTTGAAATCCAGCAGTTACTTGTGTTTGTGTAAACCAGATTAATAAAACCTGTTTAACTACAAGCAAACTGGAAACTGAAAACTGAAATTGACCAAATTTTCAAACCAAAACCAAAAACCAAAAACAATTAAAATAAATAAATACATAAAACATATTTAAATCATTATTTTATTTAAAATTTCCTAAGATTTATATATATAATTCAAATGCCGATTCAAACCATGTATTACAAAAGGAATTATAAAATCTATTCAAGTGCGCAATCTTTTCCAAAAAAAAAAAATGTTAAGAGCTAAAGATCTTAATAATAAAACAAAAATTTGAAAGTATTTTTAAAAGATATAAATATATAATAGTTACATTAATTAAACTTAGTAAAAAAAACCATTTTAAAAATTTCTTTTCAGATAATGTAAAAAATCTTCGCGAACTTTGGAAAGGTATTAACACTCTAATTAATGTAAAAAATTTGAATAAATCATCTCCCAACTGTTTGCAAGAAAATGATACATATATAATTGACCCGACTTTATTCTCTGAATCATTTAATACTTTTTTTACAAATGTTGCTCATAAACTCAAATCCAATATTCATTCATCTTACTTTAACTATTAAAAATATCTTAAACATCCAAACTTACATAGTTTATTATTATCTCCAACAAATATTTCTGAAATTTCATCTCTTATATATATTATAATATTATATTATATATATATTAGGTCCAAACAGCATTCACACAAATATTCTAATAGATTTTAACTATGATTTTTCAAATATTCTTTTTAAACTATTTAATACCTCATTTATAAATGGAAAATTTCCTGATATTTTGAAATTATCTTGCGTTATTCCAATATTTAAAAGTGGCTCTAAACTTTCGTGCACTAACTACAGACCTATTTCTCTTTTATCTAACATTAGTAAGCTTTTTGAAAAATTTATATATTCTAGAGTGTACTCTTTTCTAAACTCATTTAATTGTTTAAATGATTTTAGATCAAAACATTCTACTTGCCATGCAATTATAAGTATAACAGAAAAAAATCAGGAAAGCTCTTGATACTGGTCATTTTGTTTGTGGTGTTTTTATCGATTTACAAAAAGCTTTCATACCGTTGACCATAGTATTTTGATTTCTAAATTAAAACATGGAATTTGCAGTATTGTAAATGACTGGTTTCGATCTTATCTTTCAGATCGAAAATAATTCGTAAGTATTAATGGTTTCAATTCTAGTTATAAATCAGTTTTGTGTGGTGTTCCTAAAGGTTCTGTTCTAGGTCCTCTTTTGTTTTTAATCTACGTTAACAACCTAATCAACTCTGTTCACTTCACTTCAGTCCATCTGTTTGCTGATGATACAAATCTCTTGCACATCAAAAAATCGTATCATTCTTTATATAAAAATGTTAATTCGGATCTAAAAGGTATAGTTCACTGGTTTAATGCTAACCTAATGTCTCAACACTAAAAAAACTGAACTAATTATTTTTTCATCTTCAAGAAAAAACTATTTCTTTAAAATGTTGAAATCAAAATCAAAATTAATAATAAACGGCTATATCCTTCAAGAGTTATTAAATATCTTGGTGTATTAATTGATTGTAACCTTTCACGGAACTTTCATATTGATGAACTAAGCAAGAAACTATCTAAAAATATCAAGCTAACGGTATGCTTTCAATAATTCGTCATTATGTCGATAAAGTTACACTTAGGAATATTTACTATGCATTATTCTCATCTAATCTTAGCTATTGTTGTCCAGTTTCCAGCGCTAATAAATACGCTAATCTTTTTTTTGTTTTTGACTCCTTAAATAAAAACATACCATATCCTATCACAAACTTGTTCACAGAAAGTAGACTATTACATTCCTACTCGACTAGAAATATACACAATGGAAAACTAAATGTACCATCTTTTAAAATCCAGAGTATGGTAAACATTCTATTATTTATCAGTGCGTCTGTGAATGGAACAGGAGCCTTGCATGCATTTTGAATGAGTTTAAAATATATCCTAAAATACCTTTACTCATCTTAAACAATATCAATTTAAAAAAATTCTGAAGAACTTTTTATTCTAACTTTTTGACATTATTATCCATATGATTTAAATATTATTTTAATTTTCTTTTCGTAATTACTACAATTATCATCAGCACTTTTTGTTTATTTTTTTTATTAGTAAAACCTGCAAATTGATTTCTACATGTTTGTTTTGATGTATATTTTATGTGCTTTGGTTTGTGTGTTTACGGTCCATGTGTTTCAGTGTGTGTCTTTGCTTATTATTACTAATATTTTATTAAAAATTGATGTCACTCCTTTTATCAGATTTCTGTATGAGTGACACCATTCTAATAAATCAGGGTCATTCCGTGTCAAATCAATTAAAAAAAAAATTTTCCGCACCATACCATCTTGGATTTTGCTGATTTTTGGAGTAAAAGCTTAAATTAATGAAAGAAAACTTCACTCCAAATTATAGTATCAGACTTCTTACGGTTTCAGAGATATTGATACTCAGTCCCAATCTCTTTTTTGACTTTTTTTTTCAGCGATATTTATTTTTTAAGCTTATTGCACCACACAATTAGCTTTAACTTATGAAATACTTGTTCAATAGTGAAGAAAATTTCTACCTAACTACTTTTTAGGGTGAGGAACTCAAAAATCATGACTAAAACATTAAAAAATGTAAGCTTCTATATAAATATTCAATTTCAAAATGGTGTAACACTTTTTGCAAGATTTTTGATGCCCCGTACAAAAAAAAGTTTATCTCAAGATGCCTAAATGATATGATTCTGAAATTTTTTCCCAATGTTCTATATGTAACAAACTTTATAATACAAAAAACCTGAAAGGGTTTTCTTTTTTAAATAAAATTTATTTGCATTTAAAGTCTTACAATAATAAATCAAAAAAATATTAAAATCACACTAAAACCATGGAAATAATTAAATTACAATAAGAAAAATTAAAACTAAAAGGTAATAAGAATTAACAATCATTGACATTTAAAAAAAATAAGAAATAAAAATCTTTGACAGATAACAAATTAGTTCTCTGGTTTGAAGTTTGCCCAGCTATCTTTAATGCTGGTGATCAATTTCACTGATTTTGTATTGTCTTCCTGTAACAGTTGTTGGAATATTAATCGTTAGCAATGAGTTTGTTGATGGAACCCAGCAAACATCATCTCTAGAAGGCCAACATTATAACCTTGAAGGGTAACATGGATGCATGAAATTAACTTGTAGGTCTTTATTTTCAACATCAATTTCCTCAACTAGTCTGATTCATGGATTGTTATCATATATCAAACATACAAACACACCAATGCTTATATTAGACAAGAATTCTTTAATATTCTCATCAGTTTGAAAATTAAAACAAATGAATACTCCAATTGTTCAGAAACAATTTTAGTTCCAATTTTTGTGTTACTTATTGGAACAAAATTGTAATAGCTATGAGTGCCTGGTAACCGTTTTTGCAGTTGTATATCTTTTCTCCATTTCACTTCGAATTATCGTGTTTGACTCCTTGGATATGTAATAAATATTAATTCCTATGATTTCATTTTGGCAAAAATTAAACATTGCAGACGCTGTAAGAATATGATTTGTTGTTGTTCGGTGAAGGCTAGCAATTGAAGTCAGTCTTTTTACAGTCCCACCAATACCATCACAGGGTGATTTACTATGACTTGTTGCAAAGAAAGACCAGGTACATTTCATAGCAAAATCTTGTTCATGGTAGCATATATTTACGAAGTGTTTGCAGTTCTTGTACTGGCCAGCACACCCATCTGAAAAGTAATGGACACTTTCTATTTGATGAGAAATATTGCTTATAATATGTTCAATTGTTAGCTTCATCACATGATAAACCATATCAACATCATTCAGTAAATTATCTGAGATGAAACATATTGAATCACATTTGAGGACATTATTTTCTTTATAATAAATTACTGTTGGATGCAATGTGGCTTGAATTTTGTTCCAATGAAAACTTTGTATTTTGTCTTGTACAACAAACTCGTAATTTTCTGAGAAATCACAAAGGATTATGACCTCAGTACTACTTAACTCATTTTTTAACTTTCTTAAAGAAGCAGCTTGACTTTTTGCAATGTAAGAATGAACAGTAAGTTTTTGTAACTTATTTTTCAAAGTATTAATAAAGCTACTTGTCGTTTCTGTTAGACTTAATAGTTCAGATCGGTCTGTTGTTTTCCATTGTTTGTAATCTATACCATAATCATCATCTTCATCAATATCGCCTTGAGAGTACAACTCATTTTCAAGATAATGTACCAATGTAGAATCTTCTGGGCACAAAGGGCAATGATGTATCATGCAAGTCTTGTTTGCCCTACTACAAACAAGCATATTAATAAGCTTGTGATAATCCTTTGATAATTTAACTGCACTAATCATTAACTTAACATTTTGATGGTAGGTGCACACACATACTGTACGCGTACCAGATGCTCCAACTGTAATGCACCATTTTGGACGATTTGAGCAAAAGTTAGAAAAACAGCTCTTTATATCTGGATAACAGGTTTTAAACTTTGCATTTAGCTCTTTTAGATTTGAAAGAAACAAACGCTTTTACATATGAGATCTTCGAGCTATACTAACAAAATATTTTTTACCAGACATTAGCCTGCTATTTTCATCATTACAATAAAATTTAATAATTTTATCTACTGTTTCTTGAGGTATTTCCTTTCCTTTTTTCAGGAAAAGATAAAATACCATTTTTCTGCAGCAATTAGCATGATATCTGCACCATATAATTAGTAACATTAAATTCTTTTTCTATATTTTTGTGAGACCAAGAAATTGGAACCAGTGTTAGTAGTTGAATTTTCTGATTACGATTGGAAATTAACATTTTTTCTTTGATTTTTCTAATAAGTATATCTATGTCATTTGCTTTACCTTTAACTTCCTTAGAATTTATTGAAGGAATCTTCTTTACTTAACTGTTCAGGATCTATATTTAAAGTCCTTGCAATACCTAACTTAACTGTTTTTTGAATATGTAACAATTTTTTTTTGCCAAGAGCAACTCTTGAGTGACTATTTACAGCATGCATTTTGAGAGGACTTATGTTCATAGTCGTCAAAGAAGAATGAAGATTTTTTTTTAACAATTCATTTATATTAAGCTCATTATCTTCATCTTCATAAATCTGGCTACAAGTTGGTTCTCTTTGCTCATCATCTTTAAATGATATCAATTTAATCATTCACGAGAGACATATCTTTTCTCCAGGAATAGCATTAATACCAATATTTTTTAATTTCCCAGCAAGTTGCATATTAATTTCTTTACATCCTCCTAAAAACATGAGTGATAATTACTGCTTCAGTGAGTATTTTGCAAAAATATATATAATTTATAAATAATTACAATAAAGTTTTAAAAAAGTTTCATGGTTAAGTAATAATACCTTTTCTTCTTTTTCCATTGTGTGAATTAAATGGATCACAGCAAGTTATGTGGATTGTAGAGTAACGTTTTAAATAAACATATTCATGGTGTAGGCAAACCGTTGCATTTTCATCAAATTGAATGCCGGAATGACTAATTATCAAGTCTTTTTCCACATCATTAAGACTTGAAACTTTCTTGATATCATGAGATTTTACATATGTTTGTTTGTTACAAATTTCTTTATTTATTATTCCAATCGAGCATCTTTCTTTATCATTCATATTGTTATATTATTTTTTAGATATGTAAGAAACAATTTTGAAATAATTATTGTTTAAAGATTTGAAAATAGAAAATCCATTAGCTATTAATCATAATGATTGCATAAAATAAAGATCTTTTATGTGAAATGCAAACAAGTTTATATATTAGAACTGTACCTTACACAGCAAGATTCTAAAAATCTTTTTAAAAAATGCAAAAAATTTATGCAAATTGTTTTTTTATTATTAAATAACAGTTTTTCTTAATTTTTTAAATAAAACTTTAAATGCAAATAAATCTAATTTAAAAAAGAAAACCCTTCCAGATTTTTTGTATTATGCAGTTTGATACATATAGAACATTAGGAAAAAATTTCAGAATTTTATCTTTTAGGCATCTTGAGATAAACATTTTTTTGTACAGGGCATCAAAAAACTTACAAAAAGTGTTACACCATTTTGAAATTGAATTTTTATATAGAAGCTTAAGTTTTTGTGTGTTTTAGCCATCATTTTTTAGTTTCTCACCCTAAAAAATAGTTAGGTAGAAATTTTGACCACTGTTAAACAAGTATTTCATAAGTTAAAGCTAATTGTGTCGTGCAATGAGCCTAAAAATAAATGGCGCTGAAAAAAAAAGTTAAAAAAGAGGTTGGGACCAAGTATCAATATCTCTGAAACTGTAAGGAGTCAGACACTAAAATTTGGAGTGAAGTTTTCTTTTATTAAATCAAGCTTGTATTCCAAAAATCAGCAAAATCTGAGATGGCATGGTGCCGAGCATAAATTGAATTGAGCTGGAATGACCCATCATTAACTTATTATTATATTAATATTAGCTATTATAATTATTTTTTCATTGTAATTATTGTAAACATACTTATTATTACTATTACTATAATTTGTATAATTATTATTTTTATCTTATGTTATTATTATATACTTTTGCTATTATTACTACTATTATTTTTATCATTATTATCAAAACTATTGTAAAATGATTTACGGAAAATAAATAGCTTGTTATTAAAATTTATTTTGTAAGAGTTTACTAAAAGTTAATCATTAAAAAATTTTCTCTACAAAATAAAATTTAGTTTTAGATTTAGTTCATTTATATTTTTATTTAGTTCAGTGAGGTACTTTTTGACTAACTTTGATAGTGAATTTTTTTTCATAGTTCTGCCATACTTCAAAGCATTATGTTGATATTTGTGAATCAAGAAATTGATTAAATAATTGCCCTGTTGCTAACAACAACAATTTGGTTGTGATTCTTTTCATGTTTGAATTGAAAAGTATTTTTCTCATCAAAGTATTATTCTTCAGTATTGACAACTATTGATTATGAAAACATTTTTTGTTAACATATGATTATCAAATTGAGTTAATTCTATCCAAAGGCTCCTCTAACTCATTTTTTCCTCTAAAATATTTAAAAAAAATAAGTTTTTTACAGTTTTTTTTAACATATTTAAAAAAAATTGATTACTAATTTTAAAACTTTTACAAAGTTTCGCTTCTTTTGAGTGACAGAAATCTTTTTCAGATAATATCAGGGACCAGTTAAATATTCAACTTGTAAAATAAACCCAAGTCTAGACTTTCTCGGTAGTCCGACCATGGCTAACTAAAAGTGTTAATTAAAAGCAAAACAGAATGTTTGAATTCCTAATGACTTGGCTGAATCAGCAAAACCAGAATTTAAACTTATGCAGATTTATTCCTAAGAGTTGCACTATGTTATTACTTTTAACTATCACTAAACAGTGATTTAGAAAACTTCAGAAGGTGATGTAGATGTTAATTAATTGACATACAAAAAAATAAAATAAAATAAAAACATAAAAAAAAAAAAATTATTTTCTTATGGTTCTCATCAAAATCTTGCTCCTAATCAAACATATTTTAAGTATTTTTATTTCAAAAACTTACCCAAAAGTTCACTGTCAGGATTTATACAGATTTCTACCATACTATATAAAGAACGTTCACCCCTATATCAAACATAAATTTCATTAAAATATGAAAAAGGTTTAAAGCAAAATAAAGAAATAATCTTGCATAATTATTTTTAAGCATTAAAAATTTTACCAAACAATATCTTTTCTTGCAAGATTAAAACTTTGAAGTGCTGCTGAAGCATTATTGCAATACCTAAAAAAAAAATTTATCTGAATAAAAACATTTTTTTTTTCAATACTAATAACAACAAGATTAAAATTTCTTTAATAATATTTACTACTTATCTATATTTTTAACTTATTATCTTATAAACCAAACAAATTCAGATTTAGAATTCAATATGAAGAGTTCAATATGAAGAATTCAATATGAAGAGTTCAAGATGAAGAGTTCAAGATGAAGAATTTAAGATTAAGAATTCAAGATGAAGAGTTCAAGATTAAAAGTTTTTTAATTTCATTTTAAGATTCTAATACAACTAATATTACTTAATTCATTTTATAAAATTTTATTAAAAATTGATAATATATATATATATATATATATATATATATATATATATATATATATATATATATATATATATGTATATATATATATATATATATTATCAATTGATAATATATTTTACAAATATATTATCAATTGATTTATTTTATTTATTTGTTTTTGCATATATATTTGCATATATATTTTTTATATGCATTCATAGACTGAACTTATTAAAATAAGCGCATGGAGTGCATCAAAATTAACTGATTTATTTAGCTATAGATGCAATAAATAATTTAGCAACAGATGCAATCAGTGTGTACTCACTGACCTAACACATCGCTTATAATTAATACTTAATTTAAACTCTTGATATATTTTAACTATATATATATATATATATATATATATATATATATATATATATATATATAATAGTTCAAAATGTTTCAAAATGTTTCAATATTCCCAAGCTTCTTAACTTGAAGCAAATGATAGTTTATAGAGGTTTTCTATTATTAGTTTTGTATTTACTTATTGCAAATCTTGCATTAAGTATATTTCAAAGTAATAAAAGGGATTTTATGATGGAGGATTATATTTCACTGTTCAATACTAGCAGTACTTACTGAGCAGACAAACCTTATAATTTTATCAATTTGCTTTAGTTGAGTTTTTATCTGTAAAATTTTTTTTTATTATTATTATTAAATACTTATAATATTTTGTCAATAATTAATAAGAACTACCTTAAATATATAACATTACTCAATTAAAAAGATTATATCAATTTATTTATAACTTTAAGTTTAAGCTCTTGATAGAAATATGTTATCTTTACACATTGCTCAATTATTTTGAAATATCTAATTTAAATATGACTTATAGTAGAGTAGAAAATAGTTTGATTATTATATTAGGCTCTGTTTTATTTGCTTACACTGTATTTCAGATAACTCAATATTCAATCTGAAAATAAAAGTTCAACTTTTATAATTTTAGGCATTTTTACACAGTCCTGATGATGATGCTTAATTATGTCTGATAATTTAAGAAGTGAAAATATTTGACTACCTTAAAACGAAAGAAACCTGGTTAGGCTAAGAAAAATTGTTCTCAAAATGAAAGAGATGAGCCTAGGCGAGATGAGATGAATTGTAATCAAAATGAAAGAAATCAGGCTGGCGAGAACTCAATAGGTATAATATGCATTACATAGCAAATTTAGTTGTTATTTTATTTCTTAAGTTCTACTTTGTTGCTCTACTGACTATTATGTTTACTTTCTCTACTGTTAAAATATAGTTTTAACTTAGTAAACTTTCATTATTTAAAATTTGCTAAGTTGATCATTAATAGGTTAAAAAGAAATTAAATGTCGCAATCATGGTAAGAATAATTTTATTTTCTGATCCAATTGCAAAATTTGTTTGCACTGATAGCTATTGTGTTTTTGTTATTTTGTGTAATAGCATATTGTTTTTGCAATAAATTTCTTTTCTTACAGATTTTGACTTTTTTCAGCTCTTTTCATGCTCTGTCATGATTCGTATTTTATATGTGTAAATGAAAGACTATGCAAATATCCAACATAAACTTCAAATTATATAAATTATTAAAAATTATATCAAATGTTACAGATTTAATTTTACTTGATAATTTTATTGCAGCAATATTTAGTAAATTTTGATTAATATGAATTTTTATAAAGCATTTATATTCTATTTATAAAATATAAAATTTAATAAGTCTTTTGTTTATTATTATTATTTTTTTAATTTTATTTAGATGCCCCAAGAAGTCCTTACAATCTTATCACAGAGCACCACGAACAAACATTTAATTTTAAGTTCATGCCTTCTTCCTAACCGATGTCATAAAACTTGCCTAGGGGTGGGGTGGGGTGTTGTGTGAACCACGGAACCTTTTTTTTCAAATCTTTTCCAATTTTCTAGAATACAAAGTAAAACAATTTTAAAGGTCTCTATAGATATATGCATATCATATATTAAGATAATATATACTATAAACAAATAAAAGGGAGAGAATTTTTTAAAAAGCTTTTTAAAACTTCTGAAAACATGAAAACACAGTTAGAAATTTGTTGCACATATGTCATGGTAGAGTTTAAGGTTTTAATATGCTTAGTAATAGATTAAGTGTACGCATTAAAGAGACAACTTTCTTTTTTATAGAAAAAAGAATTTACAAGGAAACTTAAATTTTCTTTAAAATTAACAGGACAAAAGTCCTAATAACAGGGGTTATCTTTTTGCGGAACTCCAGATTTTTCTCAACTTTTAGTTTTTCCGGACAGCCAAAATGTTTTCCATACATATACAAGTTTAGGAATATATTTTTGTAATATATTTGTTTTTAAAGCTTTTTCACTCATCACTCATACTGAAACTAAAAAGAATTTGAAACAACTCAGCTAAAAGCAAACATAAGAGGAAAACATATTCCGGATATTTTACCCAAACAATTTTCTGGATTTTTAAAAAATAACCTGGATGAACTATGGAATAAGCTGCTGATTACCTGAAAAAAATTGATAGAAACTTATTAAAGAAAAAAATAATATGGTCCGTCCCCATTATTATTTTTATTTTTTTTAGTTTATATATATATATATATATATATATATATATATATATATATATATATATATATATATATATATATATATATATATTCTTTTTATCACCCAAATTACAGTTAAAACAAGCAGTATAAAACAAGTTTTATACTTTTTTAATAGTTTTTACTTTCTTTCTAAAGTCTAATTTAAATTCTTTTTGGAATATATTCCTCCATCAAATTTGTAAGTATTAGTCTTTGTTCTATGATATTCCAGAATTCACAATTGCCGCTATATTGTCTCCTACATCATCGTAGCGATGTTTAATCGTTATTTTTTTCCCTTCTATCAAACACTGGGTGAAGTTTAGCTCAAGTTGATTGCACATTTTTATTACTTTGTTGATAAATAGGTTATCTTTAGTAACATCACATATAAAAGATTACAGAAGTTGTAAAGTATTGAAAGTTAATTGTAAACTCAAAACAAAGATTTTTATACTTTGCTCTTTATTAAAAATTTCTGAAATAAAGCAAAATTATTAAAATGGTAGGTGTGGAATAAACTTACCATGACCAGTAATATATTAATATTCAGTAATAATTATACGAGTCATGGTAAGTCCGTTATTCCACATATTTAAGTCATCTAATGTTTTTTGAAGCTTTTGATAGCAATCGTATTTAACAGTATTTAACATTTCAAGCGGGTAGTCTAAATATTATTTAGTTGATAATTCGACAATTCGTTGATAAATAGCAATTCACGCAATGTCTACCAAAAAGTTTTTAAAAGTTAAATATAATAAAAAATTTATTTTATAGCTTTAAAAAGTAAACAATAAGTATAGTTTATATATATGTATTTAATTATTTTTCTACCTCTTACTAAAATGTATTAACAAGGAATAAGTATAGAAAAGGTCAGTGTAGAATAGATTTACTAAGATCCGTATTTTACGGGTCATGATAGCTAGTATATATTAACCTCAGTTGTATACTTTTTGGTTTTGCCATTTACCATTAATTCAATAATAAAGATAGCTAATAAATAATATGTTAAGTAAAAAACAAAAAGATTTTAAAGTTCTAAATATCAATTTTTATAAGTATTCTTTTTCATTCAAACATTTTAAATATATATAATTTAAAATAAATGCATTATTATATCAAGTATTATTACCATTCAAACAAGCCTCTGCAAAAGTTATAACCAGCTTCAAAAGTAGCTCGAGGATTAGACCTTTTTGCCTAAAATATTATATAAAATATCATAAATATATATATACATTTGTATAAAACCATTTTAGGTTAGCATCAGGTTGATACAAAATTTAAAAATGACAAACAACCAATGCCCAAAGGTTTATCTTAAATGTTGACATTTGCTTTAAAATTTTACTACTTTATTACGAACTTAAATAAAAAATTTTATTTTAATAACTTTTTTTGCAGTCATAATTTTTTTTTAATTGTTTTGTTTACAATTAAAATAAAAGATTTATTATTTAGAACATAAATTGGTTTTGCTGTTTTAACTTTATTATATAAAGAATTTAAATTAGGCGTTTTTTTTTTCTTTTTTTCTTTTAACAATTTTTTTTAAAACATAAATAAAATATTCTTTTTGTTAATATGTTTAATAAAATATTTTTATCTTAATAATTTTAGTTAGAATTTAAATAAAATGTATCTTTTACTGTTTTTATTTTATTTAGAATTCAAATAAAACATTTGCTTTTTCATTTTAATTTATTTGAAATAGCAAATAAAATGAAGTGTTTATATGTGTGTGTGTATATATATATATATATATATATATATATATATATATATATATATATATATATATATATATATATATATATATATATATATATATATATATATATATATATATATACATACATACATATATATACACTTTCTATAATTATCAGTTATATAAGTATTGATACATTCTGTAGACTTTAATTTTTAATCTGAAATTAAATCCTTTTTCAAGCAGTAATAGAACTTTTACATATGGAGACAATGCTTGCTACACAATAACATTATTCTTTGTATGGACTGAAGCTCTAGCATTTCCCTACTCCAGAATTATCACAGAGATATTTTATGTAGAACTAAGCCTGTAGTATATAATATTTTGAAAAGCATACACAAGAGAAATGCAAATATACATAGTAAAAACAAAAACAACATATATATAAAAACATAATATTATGTTTCAAGATAATATTAACTTATATTGCAAATAAAGTTAGCAAAAACCTGAATAAAAAATTTTTCTGTTTCACTTATTTTTCCAGTTCTTCTATGTAATTCAATGAGTTTAGAAAGAGCGTCATAATTACCTAAATAAAAAAATAACTTTAATAGACTCTTAACTAATTTTTTCTAATTCTTCATCATTTCAAATCTTCATCCAACATATTTAACTCAACCTTTAATCATAAATTAACAAGATATTATTTTTAATTCAAACAACTTTTTTAACACTAAAAAACATGAGTTTAAACTCCTTAAACTTCCAAAAATATGCAACAGCCAGTTGCATATTTTTGGAAGTTTCTCAGAATTTAAACAAGGAGATAATTATCTTAAGTTATCTTAGTTATAAAATAAGTTATCTTCATTTTTTCATGCCTAATAAAAAAAAAATCTGAAATGTAGCAAGTACATTTGTTGTATTCCAGTAGTTGTTGGTAATGAAATGTAGCAGCATCATATTCATTTTTTCTGAACATCAAATCAGCTAACATCTAAATAACAATAATTATATATGGCTATATGTTTTAGAACTTTTAAAAAACTTTGAAAGTAGCAGCAACTATAACATGCTTAAAAATTTTTTCAACCAGTTTATAAAAAGGAAAAAAAAAAAGAATAAATAGAATAAATAACTATACTAAGAAAAGTAATCACAAAATAAAGTAACCATAAACTAAGTTACCAGAATGGCATTGTTGTTGTTTTTATCATTCTTCAATATTGACACTAGTTGATACTGACACATATCCAAGTCATTATTGCTTAGGTATATTTTTGCTAAAGATAGATGAGGCTAGAAAGAGAAAAAAGAATTAGTAAAGAGCTTATATATTGTATAACTTTGTGTAATTTTTTTTCTCTGTGCTTAAAGCACGGAAGACATTTAAACTGAGCATATAAATCATTTAAACTGAGCATAGAAGACTTTTAAACTGAATGAAAAAATTAATTTAAAGAAAAAAAAGTTTAATGTAACTGGTCCTCAATTTTATTTTTAATATATTCTTAACTATAAATTTTGATTAACTTGAAAATGTTTATATAATAATTTTTGAAAACAATTTCTAAATAAACAACATAAAAGAATACCGAAACATCACTATCGTTATATGAAATAGCTTCTTTGTATGACACAATGGATTTTTCAAAATCTTTATTTTTGCTGTAGTATTCACCAAGATCGCAGCATATCCTTAAAGAAGAAGTACAATAAGGAATATAGCACCTGTGATTTAATAAAAGTATAAACAGATAAAAGTTTAAGCAAAGAAAATAATAATTTAAAATTAAAATGAAAATTGTTAGTTTTGACATTACTTTGCAGCCAACTTTTTCTGTGCAATAAGCTCATCAGGAAGTTCAAGTGCAACACGCTTTATAACCCTGAAATAAAGAAAAATTTTCACAAATTATGACTGGATAGTTAAAATAAGGTCTTAATTTCAGCTCAAACAATATATCTTTTCAAAAAATATAATTTTAATAACACTAAATTTAAACCTTTATAACTTTTTTCTAAAAATACAGCCAAATCAAAAAAGTTTTTTGTTGTTTGTTTAAACAATACAGTAAAACCTAAGTTCTTTGTTGTTAGTTCTAACAATAGAATAAAATCTAAGTTCTTCGTTGTTTGTTCAAACAATGCAGTAAAACCTAAGTTCTTTGTTGTTTGTTATAACAATACAGTAAAATCTAAATTCTTTGTTGTTTGTTTTAACAATACAGTAAAATCTAAATTCTTTATTATTTGTTCTAGCAATACAGTAGAGTCTAAGTTTTTCATTTTTTAAATTAAAATTTTACTTAAGTTTATAAAATGTTTACCAAAAATCAAATAAGTCTTATTGCAACTTTTTGAATTTAAATTCATTTAATTTTTCCATTCAAAGCTTAAACAAGCTTAACAGAAGAGAAAATAAATTTCAAGCAAACATTAAACAGGCTTATAAATAAACTAACAGCATTAATCTCATTGTGAAATAACTTTCAGATGCATCAAATTTACACAAACCTTTTGTTTTTTGTTATAAGCATTGAAAAATAGCACTCAAGTACCCATCAACTGTTAACCCACCTATTATGTAACCATCTATTATGAGTTTCCTGAGCGCCCTGAGTTTTTAAAACCTTAATTTTATTTCACCTTACTAAAATTTGTATAAATGTAACTTTAAAAGGTGTAAAACATTATTACATGTGAACTAAACTTATTTAAAGAAAAATTTTTCAAGTTTTTTGTGAAAAAAAAGTTATTTTATTTGTAAAATATGAAATCTTTAGATTGTAAATAACATTATTAAAATATATACCTTCCCTGTAAATCACGTGCTCGCAAGAAGCCTTGAATGATTTCTTCACTTTCATTAGTTTTGGATGCAACAAAAGCAATTTGTGCCAGCAAGTAAGCACATTTTGCTTCATCAAATAATTTTGACAAATCATCAGCTAAATGTTAAAAATATTTAAAAATATATGTTTTCTCTATTAGAGAGCACAAGATCATAGATTTACCTGTTGACCAAAATTTATAATTTTTTGTTTCTATTTAATTGTAGTCATTTCAGATCTGTTTGTAAAAAAAAAATTTTAACGCAGGGTATGATTAATAAAGGACTCAAAAGGGAGCCCATAAAAAAATCTTTTTTTTATTGGCTCTCTTTTGAATTTTGAAAAAATTTCAAAATTTGTTTTTTTTTTCTTTGCGTTACAAATCTTTTTTAATTTTTTAATTTATTTAAAATTTTATTTATGAGTTATAAAAATTTAAACATTTGTAAAAAATTAAAAATATTATCTGTTTGTAAAAAAAAAATTTTAACGCAGGGTATGATTAATAAAGGACTCAAAAGGGAGCCCATAAAAAAATCTTTTTTTTATTGGCTCTCTTTTGAATTTTGAAAAAATTTCAAAATTTGTTTTTTTTTTCTTTGCATTACAAATATTTTTTAATTTTTTAAATTTTTTATGTATTTTTTAAAAAAATATAAATTTTTTTTTTGGATTTACAGCTTACCTTGGGTCTATCAGAGATTACTAGAAACTTAACCCTTTGGTTCTCAGACAACAAACAGCAAAATAATTTTAAGTGAAATATTATCATCAATTGAAAAGCTATAAAAAAAAAATATTCGACAGAATTTTAAAAATGAGACCTTGTTTTATTTGTCAAAAAAATGGCCACCAAACTATTTTTTTAAAAGCAAACTTTTTCTTAGCCTCAGTCACATAATCAAATCCTGTTATTAACATGGTTACATAACCTAAAAAATGTCATGACCTGCATAGCAGGTAACAGAGACTGAAAGGGTTAAGAAAAATTCAAAAAGAAGCTTAAAATGCCAACAAAAAAGTTACAAGGCAGGTTTTACACAAAAATTTTGATTTCAAAGTCAAAAAACTTCATTTTTTATTTTATTCTCTTAAAAAAAGATCTGTGTTGTTGTTATTTATGTTAATAGTTTGAACCATCAATTCATTTTTATAGAGTTGATAGAAATTTTTCATATTCAAAAAAGCAAGTTAGAAATATATAATTTCATCACTTAGAACTGGTTTAAAAAAAAAGTCTAATAAAATTATAAATTTAGAACTCAGCTCTGATTTGAATTATTTAGATTACTTTTACTTTTGTTCAATATGTGAATTTATTCTCTACTTTCTATTACCATAGTTAAAATGAATTATTTTAATTTTTTTTACAAAAAGATTAGTTAGAATACATTTCTATTGCAAGTGGCAAAGAATTTACAACTTACACTATTAAGCATATAAAATGAACTGTGCAATGTGTAACATATAATGAAACATAAAAAATTCATTATGCAATACACAAAATAGAACCAAAAAAACAAAATAATAAAGATATAACCAAGTCTCTGATTACAATAATATCCAAGTCTTTGTTTGCAACATATAACAACATTCCTGGTTACATCATACAACCAAATCCTTGTTTGCAACATGTTGTTACAACATACTTATGTTGTAACAACATCCCTAGTTACAACATACAACCATGTCCTTGTTTGCAACATACAACCATGTCCTTGTTTGCAACATACAACTATGTCCTTTTTTGCAACATACAACCATGTCCTTGTTTGCAACATACAACCATGTCCTTGTTTGCAACATACAACCATGTCCTTGTTTGCAACATACAACCATGTCCTTGTTTGCAACATACAACCATGTCCTTGTTTGCAACATACAAACATGTCTTTGTTTGCAACATACAACCATGTCCTTGTTTGCAACATGTTGTTACAACATGGTTATATGTTGTAACATTGCCCCTAGTTACAAAATATATCCATGCCCTTGTTTGCAACATATATCTATGTCCTTGGTTGCAACATATAATCATGTTCCCATTTGCAACACATAACCATGTCTGTAAATACCTTGTTTCTTAGGCATTAGCTTTATTTGTTAAAGTTCATGTTTTGGAATATGAGATGTTTTTTAAAATAATATTTAAAAAAAACAAGTAGCTTCTTCAATAAAAAAAAATGCAACATTAAATACGCAGCATGAACATACAAAAACTATGTACAAAAAACTTAGTGGTATAATATAACTTTGAAATATTTTTACAAGAGTCATCTTCCTTAAGGTTTTGCTTCAATATCCTCACTGCTTTGTCAAAGTTTTTAAGCTTCATATGCAACTCAGCTAAATCAAATCTAAAAGAATATATATAAATAAAATATATTAGTAACATTAAGTTAAAATATAAAATAATAATAAATCTTAAAAATATATGACTATTGATAAACTACTTTTACTTAAGGATAAAAACTAAGTAAAAGTTAAAATCAAAGATAATAATTTTATAAATATTTAATAATTTAAACACATAATCATATAATATGATCAAAGGACTATCATTGTTACATTGCACTTAAGTTAAAAAAGACTGTCACTGTCACATTGCACTTACCTTAAAAAAGAATGTCACTGTCACATTGCACTTACCTTAAAAAAGACTGTCACTGTCACATTGCACTTACCTTAAGAAAGACTGTCACTGTCACATTGCACTTACCTTAAGAAAGACTGGCCTCCAGATTTTAGTGCTGCTTCATAATAACTAATAGCCTAAAATTAAAAAAAATGTTTAAGTTTTGAAATAATTCTTTAAAGTGTTTTTTTATCCTTTAACTCTTGAATATGTTCCTTATAATACAAATATAGAGTATTATTATACTCTATATTTGCATATACTCTATACAAATATAGAGTATAATATACACACACATACCCACAGATATATATATATATATATATATATATATATATATATATATATATATATATATATATATATATATACTCTATACAAATATAGAGTATAATATACACACACATACACACAGATTTAATAATATTGACAAGTTTAAGTAATAGTAGCTGATAATTAGGGATAATTATTAGCAAAATTAGCAAAAGCATTTGATACAATTGATCATAAAATTCATTGCTTAATATGAATATTTATATATATATAAAAATTGAAATATTATGGTATAACAAACAATGTTTTAAAATGGTTAAAAAGTTACTAAATGAAAGAAAAAGTTTAAGTGAGTAGCAGAAATTTTTTGAAATTTCTCAAAGCATGATAAAGAGAGTAAAGCACAAATTTTAGAACTAACAGAAAAATTTGAGATATGTGCTTAGAGAACTGAAAAATTGCAGTAAATCTGCTAACTAAGCAAATAAAAGAAGAAGACATTGACATATCTCAATGCACGGTAGTGAAACCCTTGAAGGAATTTCTTGACAACAACCTTAAAAATCTAAATTAAGGCAATGGTTAAAAAATATTTTGAATGGGCAAAAAAATACAAAAAAACTGACCGAGAATGATTGGAAAATTTTAATTATAAAAATTCCACCTTAAAATCCATTTATATTAAGCCACTGTATGTATATATATATATATATATATATATATATATATATATATATATATATATATATATATATATATATATATATATATATATATATATATATCATTGAGTAATTATGTTATACTTATTAAAGCGATATTTTATTTTAAATGCTCTAGATGTTTTTTGATATTTTCATTTATGTAAGTAAAATACGACTCAACCTACAAACCAATAAATTTTGCTCTTTAAAAAAAAAGGTATATTTGCACAAGCTATACCCATATAAACTGACTTCCACAGGTGTGGAGATTTTTAATAGTAACTTTCTAAAAAGAAATGGTACTATTAAAAGATCTAACCTAAATGACAATAGTAATTCATGGCAAGCCTATATATATATATATATATATATATATATATATATATATATATATATATATATATATATATATACATATATATATATATATATATATATATATATATATATATATATATATATATATATATATATATATATATATATATATATATATATATATATATATATATATATATATATATGTATATATATATGTATATATATATATATATATATATATATATATATATATATATATATATATATATATATATATATATATATATATATATATATATATATATATATATATATATTGTTAGCTTGATGTATAAATTGACACTTTACTTCAACTTTTATATTCAATATATATCATTATTCAAGAACAATTAAGTCATTAATCCAAAACACAAATCTACATAAAAATAACATACATTTAAAACGTTGTTCACATCTTTTTATCAAAAATTTATTGTATTTTTTAAGTTTATGATTTAAATAATTTTTTATTTAAATATTAACCCACCTTAGAATATTGATGTGTTTTAATAAGAGCATGACCAATTTTGCTTGCAAGATGGATATCGCGAGGATTTTTTTTTAATGCTGCCTCATAAACGTTTATAGCTTTTTCAGGCTGTTCAAAATTTAAAAAATAAAGAGTAAGAAGTAATACACAAATAATACTAAGTAGGGGAGAACCTAATGTAATGAATGATGTAATGAATGATGTAATGAATGATGTAATGAATGGGGCAGATTTCAAGAAATGCTCTTTTTTAAGTTGATAAAATTATTTAATTTATAAATTGAAAACTGTTTGATAACCATTAACTCTTGCACTATGATGTACTCAAACAAAAAAACCAGCTCTGCATATGCCTATTGGTAAAAAGAGCACTTTATTGGACCAGGACATTTGTCCCATTCATTAAAAACTACTTATTGAATGGGACAAAAAAATTATTGAATGGGACAAATATAAAAGATTCAAAAATGATAAAAGCTCAGTAGTAAGTTTCAAGTAAGTTAAGCAGTGAAGGTTGTTTCTACCACTAGGGATGCCAAAAAGGCTATGCATATGGTATACATGTTTTCAGTAAGAGTGCAATGATAAATTTTTATTTTACAGTGATCTAAATATGTCTGCATATTGACAAACTTAACAAATTTTTATTTAAAAAAATATAATTACTTAATGAATTTTATTTAAAATAGAATATATTATTTTTTTAAGTAAAACAAAATAGTGTAGTAAAGTATATATTTCCGTTAATATAAGGTAATTATTAGCTTATTAAGTATCTAATTTACTTTAAAAAACTCAATAACAAAGCAACTTATTAGTAATAAAAAATTTAAACATTTGTATCGCTTTTGCAAAAAAATTAAGTAGTAAAAATTTAGTATATTAAAGGAAGTGTAGAAGATATTAACATTATATATCATTAACTTCATATAACTCGCACTCATGGTAACGCTTCTTGTTGTTGCTATTACAACTACCACATATCCACCATTGACAAGTGAAACACTGAATCCAAGCAGGCCCAACAAAATTTTTCTAGTTGCATTTGCATATTTTGCAAATACTTTGTTGTTGTTCGTTGATGTACAGATGTACAGAGTTTTTTGTTTCTTTCATTTCTCTGAATGTTTTTTTATGTTATTTTTACCAAATTCAACATTTTTTCTCTCATTTACTGTCTTTTCTCTCATTTACTGTCTTTTCTCTCATTTACTGTCTTTTCTCTAATTTTCTTTTCTGGAGTTTTAGTCAATATAGTACCTTGTTGTCTTCTTTTTCTAGAACCTTTTCTGGGAGGTGCTTTAGGGTTTAGGGGTAATGGTTTCCGGACTAACTATTTTGACTGAAAGAGGTCTGTCATTAACACTAGATGGTATGAAGTCGCTTTCCCCAAATATTTGTCTATTGAGTGGATAGAGCCCACATTTTTGAAACCCACTGCAAACATTTTTATTGTGAATGACATATTATATGGTGTGCTGGCTAGTTGAGGCAAATTATAAATGTTCATAATCCTCCCTGGATTGGAAGCCAACCATTCATTCTGGATTGGAAGCCAACCATTCATTCTATGACTGCAGTATGGTGGAAATGTTAACAAAATCAAAGAAATTTTTTTTGAAAAATTTATTAATTCAAATGAAATGTAGCTTTCATGGTTGTCCATTAATAACAGCACTGGATGATCTGTAGATGGCTTAGTATGAGATACAAAATGCTTAATTGCAAGTAAAAAGTTGTCACTTGTCATCCAACCACTTTTGTTACACAACCCTAAGCTTCCTATTGGTGCTCCACTTAATATAAAATCCTTGTAGTTTACTCTCGGAAATATAAATACAGGTCGACTGTATTACGCATAGCATTCACGAAAGCTAACATCGTCACCAACGACCCTCTTTCTGCTGAAACAGCTTGACAAACTCGCTTAGCTCCACGAGAAATAATTTTTGGAGGGTCTGTAACTATTAATAACCCTGTCTCATCTGCATTAAAAATATATTCAGGTTTAAACTTATATTATAATTGAAGTTCTAACAAATTATCAAAAAACATGGACACAGTATGTTCATTATATTCAGTTGCACAAGCAAGGCTGACTTTTTCTGGTTTTCGTAGAGATAACTTTTGATAACACATCAAAAAACAGTCCATCAATTGCTTTCCTGCCATTTTATTTAGGTGTCATGAATCATATATATTTTTTAAATTCAATGTGATACTATACTTGTAAGCTAACTGCCTAGTTTGTAGTTTAGTTAAACCTTAACACATATTTGAAGACATATGAAAATAATCTACAAGAGCACTTTCATAAGAAGCATGAAAAAATTTTTTTATTTCCTATATTTGCAATGTATTCAAATTTTTATGGTAGCTTTAGAGATTATGCCATTTTTACAGCTTTACCTACTGTAGATTTTGATAAATTATACTTTTATTTGTATCTTGAATTGACATACCCCTAAGAATGTTTTTGACTGCATCTTCAACATCTAAAGAATTTTTTCGAATTAGTTTTGTGTTTGGTTTTATCTAAAAGAATTTAAAAAATTTATAGAAATCAAATAAATGCTAATGTCATACTTGTATTATATGATCAAACTATGTACACATTTGTGTAAGTATGTAATGTACATAAATACAACTACAAACGCAAAACTAAAAATCAAAAGTAAACCATTTTACTACAAACCAAATTACTACAAGCTTAAGCTTTAACTATAACTAAATGTATATTTTATGGTACAAAAGAAATTCGAAGAATCACAATAGTTTGTTAGAATAGTTTGTTAAAATCTTTTTAAAAGTACAGCTTTGTTTAAATCTTTTATAAGGACAATCTTTTTATTAATCAAACCTTTCAAAATCAAAAATATATTGATTGATTACATTGATTTTAAACTCACATCTAAATTTTAACTTAAGCATTGGCCACACTCGTTAAGAACCGCACTATCAGAACAACTAATAAAGTTAAATGAAATAAAAAATATGCGTAACCATAACTAAGTTGCCAAAATAATTTTTTGCGCTTTTTTCTCAACAGTTTGTTTGTACAATTCCCATTCAATAATCATTACTTTGTCCCATTCAATAAGCATCTCACTTTATCCACAAAAAAAGAGCCAGATTAAAAACAAAATTACCTTAATGTGAATGGTTTAAAATTTCTAAAACTAGAGACAACTGTGTATTTAAAAATGGAGTTTAATTTTCCATAACTTCAGTAATCACTGCAAAATCAGAAAAGCAAAATTGTTTTTTAAAATTACTTTTTGTTCTTTAAAATACAATATCATCTAATGTCATTATACCCTAATAGAAATAATGATTTGATCTAATGAATGACTGTATCTAACACTTTTTTTCAAAGGAGTTTGAATATCTAACCGTAGACACTTCTATGAGAATTTTATTTTGTTCCAATTAAGGTTCTCCCCTACTAATACTTACAACAACTTGACCTATAACCTTTCTAAAAAGAAATGGTACAATTAAAGATCTAACCTAAATGACAATAGTATTTCATACAAAGGCAAATAATAGATTTAGAGAGAAAAAGGTGTGTGAAAATAACAATAAGAAGAGGTAATGGAAAATATCAAATATGTCGCTAAGTCAACCTTAGCATATGCTAAAATTTTTTATCAAGACTTAAATATACAAATGATAATTAATCATTTGTAGTTATAAATAATTATGACCACTAGAAATGAAAAAAACTTTTTTTTTTTTAAACTATATTATTAGATAAAAACTTTACCTCTTGAATGCTCATGTATGCATCTCCTAATAGAAGAAAAGATTCCGTATTTGGTTTCTTATCAACAAGCTCTCTAAAAAAATCATTAAAATTTTTTATATAAGGTATCTTTTTATTCTCTACTTTGCTGGAAAGTACAAAGCACTTTGCAGTATAGGTAAGATTTCTTAAAATTGCACTGTTTTCAATAAAAGAATTTGTGTTGAGAAAATTGTTGCTGGTAAAGTTTTTGGCTATTTATTTTCTGAACTTGAAGGAATTTGTATACTATGGATTTTATACAATGGGATAAGTGCTTCTTAATTTCTCCAATATAATTGCAACTTGATTCTGAGTGCGACATCATCTTGCCATAAGTTGAGCGCTTTGTTTTATTTAAATAAATTCTTACAGATAAGTACTAGTTTCAGAGCATTTATGTAGAATACCTAAAAATCATCTCGCCTTTTTTTGATTTAAAACTGAATTCAAAATAATTAACTTTTTACAAAACAAACTTGTCATTATTAACATATTATTGACACAGAGAAAATGAAAAATAAAATTAACTATTAACATTTTATACAGCAAACTTTATTATATTCAATGAATAATGTGAGACTATATTATTAACTTTTTTTTTTTTTTCATAATTTTTAATGAAAAAATAAACTAAAAATAAAATTAATCTTTATTGTTGAATCACATTAAGTTATAAATTCCATTTTTGGTTGCACACTACTTTATATAATAAAATTACACATTTAATAAAAATTACCTATAAACGCTTATGAATAACTTTTTATCTTTTCTGTGCTTTAAATAAACATTTGCCATCTTTTCTCTAGCTTGAAGATAGTAACTGTAATAAATTAAACAAAAGTTTAAACACGCAGTTTTGTTTATTGTTTACATGCATGTAACATAATACTTATATGATATGGAGAATTTGTAAACTTAATAATGACTATTGAAAATATATATATACATATATATATATATATATATATATATATATATATATATATATATATATATATATATATATATATATATATATATATATATATATATATATATATATATATATATATATATATATATATATATATATATCTTTTGCTTTAGTTTAGAAATTTATCAAATTAATATGAGGCGTATATACACACATGTATATACGTCTCATACTAATTTAATAAATTTATTTACTGAAAAGATTCAAAAAAATTATTGAAAAACTATCAAAAAATAAACAAACAAGTTGTAAACAAATCTGTTAGCTATCTTATTCTGATTAACTTTAATTACAAAGCATTCACCACTAAAATGTTGTAGATTTGGTTCTCTGTTTGTTTTTTAAAACCTTTTTATAATCCTCAAGGTTTCAGCCTTGTTAAACAAGGTTGCTGCCTTGTTAAATAAGGTTGCTTGGAAGAGAAACAGGAAGATTCTACTATTTCTGATTCATTGGGTCTCAACTGAAGAATTTAAGTAAAGTTTAAAGAGTGATAGTTACATAGACAGAGAGTTTCAGAGAGTGATAGTTACATAGACAGACCTTTATAAGTTAACAAGCTTGACAATTTTTAAGGTAAAACAATATCGACGCCTTAAAATGCAAACAAATTGACTTTTAGAATTTAGTCAATATAGCAGAAAGTATTTTGAATATTTCAACACAATTTGAATATGCTAAAAAATAGTTGTCACTGTAACTTCAAGAAATATGTAAAAATATGTGTTAGCATTTTCAATTACTTTGATTTAAAAAAATCAGCAGTTTCTTCTGGCTAATTTTTACATGCATTGACAACAATAAACCATCAACCTAGGCTTAAATATGAAAAACTAGGTTTAGATATTTAGTGCATAGGGAGGTAAAAATTACATTTAGTGAATGAGGGGATAAAACTCATATTTAGTGAATGAAGGGTTAAAACTCATAGTATATTTTTCTTCCTTAAAAACAGCTTCAAAGTAATATACTGATATTTTTAGATTTATAATAAAATTTATTATCTTTATTTAGTATTACATTTAAAAATAAATATAAAAAATAAATGAAAATATTAAGTATATATAAAATGATGATTGATAAGATTATCATTTTATTCAGTTTAGCAGTCTAAGTGTTTTCACACACTAACATAACTTTTTTTTTTTTTTTTTTTTTCTTGCTTTTTATTTTAAATAGAAAGAATTTTTATGGCAAATAGAAAGAAGTATTTTAACCTGATTAATAGAAAGAAATATTTTCATATGGCTAATAGAAAGAAATATTTTCACATAGGTAATAGAAAGAAACTTGGGTAATAGAAAGAAATATTTTCACACAGCTAATTTTAAAAAATTTTCATACGTGGCTGATAAAAAAGAAAAAACCATCAAAATATAGAAAAAAAAACACCCTAAAAATAGAAGATTAGAAAGGAATTAAAAATATAAATTGAAATAAGGATGAAAATTATAAAAGATTTTATTTATTTAAATGAATTAAGGATAAAAAATTATTCATTTTGTGAATTATTATTGCTAACATGTGTTAAATATGATTAAACTTAAAATTAATTTATATAAATATATTAATTGATATATATATAAAACCTTTGTTCTGGTTCAATTTGTCGCATTAATGTTAATGCCTGATCAATATCTCCACGCAAAACGGCAAAATCAGCATTGGCTAGTGTCACCCTAATATTAAAAGCAAAACACAAAAATAATTAATACAATCATGAAATCAAATACCTATGTTGTATATAATTTCTATTATAAATAAACTATTATAAAATATGAATTTTATAAATGTTTAAATTTTGAAAAAAATTTGTAAACCTAAAAAAAAATTTAATTAATATCCATATTAACTTCTTATTAGAACTATTTTATATACTTATTACTTAAAATTAAACTTTTAAATTTAATTACAGTTTTGTTTTTAATTTTTACAAAATTTACATAATAACTAATTGTTTATATATTTAAAAATTGCTTGAGGCATTGAAAAAAAAAACATGTTTTAAGAACCCTAGACATTATTCATTGCTAAATACCAAGTTTTAAAGTTTAAATTCTAAATACCATAAACCATTTTTCATGAAATTGAATACCAAGTTAACAATTTTTTATGAATCATTAAACTATTATTCTTTATTTTCATTTATATTTTAACACTAATAACTAATTTTAGTTATGATAATTAAAAAATAATCACAAAACTGGAGGATTTTTTATTTTAAATTTTACACCTCAATAAACACGTTTGTGGTTAATTGGTTAACAGTTATTGTTTGTTTTGATGTCAATTTACAAACTTTTATTAAATAAACAATTATATTTTAAATTCCTTTTTTTTGTTGTTGTAGAGAACTTAATGGCAAAGCATTTTTTAATTAAAAAAAAAAAAAAAAAAATTTAAACATTATTAAGTATAGATTGTTATCTACCCCTCCCTTCAAATTAGCTCATAACAACAGCCTCTATATATAAAGCCTGAATATACGCTGTGATAAATAAAAATATATGTAGTATCAAATAGTAATTATTACTTGATTTCTTCAGGAGTTCCAGAAAATTCATTCATAGCATCTTGAATTGTTTTTGTAGCTTCATGCTATTTGTCATTAGTAATAAAAAAAATCAAGAAAAAAATCAATTAAAACATAAAACCATTTTTTCATTAAATCACTTTATTTAATAACACCATTTGCACCAAGTGCACTTTAATGGTGTTTGTTAAGATAACAATACTAAAACAATTGTAAAAAATATTTAACTCATTTTTTATTACAAACATGTACTCTACTAAATTTGTCAGGTAGAATCTAACTTTAATAATTGTATTGTATTAAAATATAATACAATTATTGTATTATAAATACAGTAATTGTATTTATAATACAATAATTGTATTGTATTTATTATACAATAATTGTATTATATTTAAATAAAATATTTATAATACAAATATTGTATTATAAGTATTGTATTAAAATTTTTTCAAACTAAAGTTGACCTTCAATAATTACTTTATTATTCTTATTCAATCAAACTTTTTACAAATAAAAATAAATACTTTACTTAAACTTATTTATAGAAAAATTAACTAGACACCCAAAAGAAAACTAAACATTCAAAATACAACAAGACATTCAAATCACAACAAGACACTTAAAATACAAAGCTAAAAAAAAAATACCAAAAAAAAAAACAAGACACCCAAAATAAAACTAGATATTTGAAGTATAACAAAATCCAATAAAAAGAAAATAATAAAGCCTATTATTTTTAAATAAGAAATAAAAAAATATATTTAAAAATATTATTTAAAAAAACAAACACATACTTGCATGCCAAGAAGTCGCTGCAAGTCAGCTAGCTCTAAATATACAGCCACACGATTACTGGAAGTAACATTATAGTTGACCTTTGCACCAGCAGGGGCTGTATGGAAAAAAATTTTAACAACAAAATAGGTTTATCTACTTTATTATGGTCCACCATATGTAAGCAAATGCATACAAACAAATTAATAATAAAGTGATTTAATTTTTATTTTTTTATATTTTAACATTATTTATTCCACCATTTATTTAAATTAAGCACAATTATTTATAAACACCTGCTTTTTTAACTCCAGGAATATTCATTGCTGTCACTAATGTTTTTAAAGCCTCATCTAAATTATCATTTTTTTTTAATATTTTTGCTTTGATGATATGATATATTGGACTATTTTTTACTTCAAAGTTAAAACTGAGCCCATTTTCAAGTGAAGCCTCACAAGCACTGTAGTTGTTGCACTGTAAGTAGATCTAAAAGGAAACAAGAGATAATATTACCACAAGATATATTTAAAAAAATTAAAGATATTAGATATAAGACAAATTTTAGTGACACTATTAAACATCAAATTAAACATAAGAATATAATAAGTAACAATATCAAACCACTTATTATTATTTTTTCAATCATAAATATCCATTTTAATAGAGATTTTTAAAACTAATGGTTTGCAAATCAACTTGTAAAGTTTTCCAAAAGCTAAAGAAAGTGTTCTGAAACTTGTATTTCAAAAAAAAAAAAAGAAAAAAAATCCATGCAGAGTAAAACACTTTCTTTAAAAACTAATTTAAAAAAAATAGCTTTCAGAGTAAAACACTTTCTTCAATAATTAATAATAGTTGTATCTAATAATTCATATTTTTTTAAATATATATTAAATATTTTTAAATCCAAATATATTAAGCAATTTCTTTTAAAATAAACAAAAAAAAAAAAGCTATAATAATTATGATATAATTTTTGAGCCTACTTTCAGTTTGTATTTAATTTATAGATACACCACATGGTTCTTTTTTTAATAGCTTTTTTTATTAGTATTTCCTCACCCCTATCATATTATTTCTTCATAAAGAGTAAACTGAACAAAATACAATAAAATTATGTAATTGAACAGTAAAAACTCTATTGCCTCTTGTGTCCAACAGCAAATCATTTAAGGACAATACATTGAACTTTTTAAGATCTGTGTTATACTATTTTTTCAATTGCCAACTGAATTACAAAAACAGCTGCATAGACCCTATAGTCTGATTCATTTAAATGTAGTGTGCATGGTACTACTGCTACTGGAAGTAAACCTTAGAGACCAATTATCTCATTAGAGCTTAACATGTACCCACAAAAGCTATAGAAATACTACACTTCTTTAATTCATGTGATTGCCTACTAACACGAAGAAGGATGATCAACTCACAGGTGCTTTAAACCCAGATCATATTTGAACAAGAAAAGTTGATTTGTTTCTTTTTTTGTTACCAAGATGTTTTAAAACCATCTTGTTGAAGCCATCAATAATTCTGTCATTCAACCATGCTTCTGAAGTCAGGATCTGTTTATCTCCAATTACTAGATTGTATGTTCAAATCCAATCTTGCAACCAATAAACTCTTTTGTTGAAAGCATCTATTATTTGCAAGAGCTGTGGAATAATTGGGTCTACTTGTCACCCATTAGTGTATTTTTTCATCTATCACATTTCAAAACTTTAGTTTGTTGGTAAATGCATACAATAAAGCTGAATTTGTCATTCTGATGTACTTTTTGGCTGTGATTTTTTTGCAGAAAAGTTCTTTAACAAACTCTGGCACTCATAATTCATCCTTGATTTCTCAATTTAGGTATCCCATTAAAAAAAAAACTTTGCTTGCCTGGTGTTCCAAATTAATTGGAACTGAAGCTTGTATTTATATACAAATGTGTTTCAACATTTGCGTTTACATACTTGTCTACATTTTGCACATATTTTTAACGCCATTTCAAACATCACAAGTCTTCTTAACTTTAGCACAGTTATTTTGTTTATAGTCAAGTTTATGAAAGACTTTAGCAACTTGTTATTAATTTGTTTAAAGAAAGAAAGTTTAAACTTATCTGACACTAATACTTTATATGTGTTTGATGTATTTGTACCTTTGTTATTTTGTTGGTTAATTTAGATTAGCATTTATACAGACTTTTAGACAGATTTATATTTATTTAGATCATGCTATAATATTATATAATCATTTTAATTTGTGTATGATTGACATTTAGGTATGCAAGATAAATTTTATAGGTTATTATTTCACAGAAGGGAAAATATTTTTTCAGAATGGAAATATTATTTCAAAAAAAATTTTTACCCCTGAAAGTATATTCCAGGCAGGGGGAAAATTTATCATTCCATGCTGTTTTGCGGTGCTATGAAATTTTTTTAAGGAAAAAAAAAAGTACTTGTAAAAAAAGTACTAATATTTTGACAATATTCAGAAAATTCCTAAATACATAAAAACTTGATGAACTTAGATTCAGTGATATCTTAGATTCAATTACAGTATCTAAGTAGTATTTACAGTATCTAAGTAGTATTTAAGTTGGGAACCAAAAGAAAGCAAAGAGCAGAGTTGAAGAGCAAGAAAGCCATTGACAGAAGACTTGAAAAATTTGCCATCAAGACAATAAAAAAAATGTCAAAGCAAAATGTCAGAGGAAAACGACTAGAACAGGATAGCTTTTCAAGCATAAAGGAAGGTTAAAAGGATGCAATTTTGCTGAATGACAGGTTACACAAGTTTGACTTACTTAATACAAGTGATGATAGCAGGAAAATATAGATAGATAGGAACTAAGAATACATATAGAACATATAAAAGATATAATATAAAAGATAGTACATATAAAAGATAGATAGGAACTAAGAGTACATATAGAACATCAGAATAGAACATTATTACATCTAAAATAAAATAAAGTATTTTATAAGGATTTACTTATTTATAATTATTATTAATAATAATTGTAACTAATATAACTTTTTAAAAACTTTTTTATTATTTATTTTGGAACAAACTTATTTCTGTCTCAAACTTACTAGAATTAAAGGTTTATTACTTTATTTGCATTTCAGTATCATCTTCATCTTTTTCTATATCTATATTTCTCTCTATACACTTTTAAAACTTGTATCTATATTTCTCTCTACACACTTTTAAAACATATATCTATACTTCTCTCAATACACTTTTAAAACATATATCTATACTTCTCTCAATACACTTTTAAAACATATATCTATATTTCTCTCTATACACTTTTAAAACATATATCTATATTTCTCTCTACACACTTTTAAAACATATATCTATACTTCTCTCAATACACTTTTAAAACATATATCTATATTTCTCTCTATACACTTTTAAAACATATATCTATACTTCTCTCATCTATACACTTTTAAAAGATATAATCATAAAAATGCTGATAGAACTTCAATAAAAACTCAAATAATAATATGTAATCGCTTTAAATTTATAATATATAAAAAAAAGATTAAAAAAAAAAATTTCTATCAAAAATTTTTTCTAAAAATAAAAATAAAATATATTTAAAAAATTATATTTTATTAAGAATATTGTAATTATATTTATATTCAGAATATTGTAGTTTTTATATCTTTAAAGAATATATAAAATTTTATAAAAAACTCTTTTTTCTAAAATTCATTGAACCACAAACCTGAGCCATTAGAATGTGTGCATTTACAAAAGTTGAATCACGCTCTAAACATTGCTGCAACATCACTTTTGCATAATCAGTGTCTCCTAAAATGATGACAAAAAAGTTAAACACAAAATAATTCTTGAGTATTTAAAGCCATATATAAAATTACCAGCTATATATTTGACATTTGCTAGTGAATAAAGAGCTTGTATTAGGCCAGGAACTGTTTTCACAATTGGATCCAAAATCAAAGAGCATTTTTTAAGTATTGGATTATTCATTTGTGATTTTCCTGAAGGCTACAGATTAAAAACAATTTAAATAAAAATAAATCAGAGTTAATTAAACAAATTAAAAATAAAATTATATCATCAACTATATAATTAAATTTAAAATAAATTAAATAAACAAATCAGTTAATTCTCATATCAAAATTATAATTACTTCTGATGGTGCATACAACATAAGCATATCAACAATTTGGAGTAAGAAGTCTGGGTTCAATAGCTCAAAGTACTTAGTACTTAGTGTTAAACCCTACAAACATAAAACAAAATTAAAAAATTTTGTATTCATATGTACTTTATTCATTTTGTAATTGCTCAAAGTGATGTAATTCAATACTTTAAATGTTTTTTTATATTTGAATAATCAACTAGAATCAATCTATAATTTCTTAGCAGTGTAATTGACTATAACAACTAGCCTATAATTGCTTAGCTGCATAACTAAATAATGGTCACTGCTTTTTTATATACAAACACAAAAAACACAGTTTCACCTACTAAAAAAACTAATCAACAACATTTTTAAAATTATAATGGTTTGAAGTGAGTAGTTTCTTTATAACATTGTAAATTAGCAGTCTCTTTATTGTATCACAATCCACCTGATTTAAACCATCTACCAACTAGATGATTTAAATCAATAGCAAACCTGACAGCCTTTCTGCACAATCTATTCAGTAAAAATAGTAAATACTTACTTTTTTTTTCAACCTCTATTATAAACATCTTCAGTTCACTAACATTGTAAAATAATGAAGCTTACAAGCTTTTGTTTTGTGTTTTAATGTTTTAGAAAACAAAATATTAAAATATAAAAATGCATTAAAATAAAAGTGTATATGAAGTTGAAGTAACTTGTAAGATATTTTATATTACTGTTACATAACAATTAAGAAATAAGTGTCTAAAGTAAACTAGTTTATTCAATTCATTTAAATATATTTTATTTTATTGCACATTTTATTAAAATTAAAAAACATTAACGCAAACAAATTTTGGTTTCAAAAACATGGTTTCAGCTTTGGCTTTAATTTCTAGGCTGTCATTATTGAGTTAACCAGTAAGATATACAAAAATACAATATGTTTTTTTGTATGTGTAAAAAAAAAAAAAAAAAGCAGAAAATTTAAAAAGATTTTATTAATTAAATTAGCACAATAAATTAATTGCAAGTCAATTGCAAACCACATGCAATCAATAGCATTCCATACGTAAAACTAAAAATTTAACACTGAGACTTTTAAGAAAATCAAAAATTAATAAGAATAAACAATATTTTCACTATGCTCTCAATATAGTATTTAATTATTATTGAAAAAGAAAACTTAGCAGGTTATATCAATAACTGCATTTTTAGAAAAATAATGATTTATTGTTAAAATTATTTACCATCAAAACAGAAAAATGGGCTTCTATAGTTTCCTGCAAAGTTTGCAAAACTCCTTCAGACGACTTTCCTTTTTTCATTGCCATTAAAGCACTGAGATAAAGAATTTCCTATGTCAAACAAAAGCAGTAACATGTACTATTGTAATTCCAACTTATATCAATTCAATACCTCATATAATACTTAAAATAATATACCTGGAAATAAAAAAAATAAAAAAAAATACATACAGGTGTCTTTCCGATTGAACTTTGTATTTCTTTGAAAAACTCAAGTTGTTGTTCAGCTTCACTAAGTTCATTTTCTAGAATCTGACACTGAATAATTCCTTTTAAAAACAATTAAAATTATATTATACGTCTGTGGCTACTTGTGTTTTCTCAAAATCTGACACAATAAGAATTAAGAAATATTATTTTGTATCATTTTTAAAAAACCAAAAAAATCCATTTTATATGGTATTTTTCTGGAATGCATTTATTTCATTTTGTTTCATATTGTTTTTACAAAACAAATTAAAACTTCATTTTGTACCAACTTTTATGAAACAAAATTGTTTTATTATAATTTTACAATACTGTGTAAAACAAAATAATAATTTCTTGTAAAAATATTAAGCTAGATTAAGCTAGGGAAGTAAAGATTAACTTCTCACAAAACTACATTTATTGTTTAACACTCTTCAACTTCTAGTTGATATGTCTGCCATTTTTTATTAACTTTTTAAAAGCATTTTTAAAATACCAATTTTTCACCTGTTAACCATTTTTAAAATGATTAAATCAATTCTAAAAGTGTTTTTTTTTTGTAATTTGTATTGTTAAACTTCTGATTATGGGTGCTATTTTAAATGTTTCTCTCAAAGTTATCTTTTAATTTTTCGATCCTAAGCAAAGCTCTTTTTTGTGTAACTCCAAAACCAACATTACTGCATCAGGTTTTACATAAGGTCAATATAAAAAGTGTCAATTAAAATCAAGTTAATTGATAAATACTGGATAGAAGTCCTATCTAGTTAGATTTATTATCTAGTTAGATACTTTCCTGGGATATCAATATTATATATTTTATAAATTTATTATCTAAATTATTTACTGTTGGCAAACTACTCAAAACATTTTTTATTAGTTTGATAATTTCAAAAAATTACAAAATTATGTTAATTTATGTATGAACATCCAATTTTGTTTATTCGATTGTATGATGATTTACACTACCTAAATTATTTGAATTGTCATACTTTTCAATGTATCAATCTTTTACTACTATTAGGAGAAAAAGTGAAAACAAAATCTAATTTATGTTATTTTCCTATTTATTAAGTTTGCATAAAAATAAATAAAAAGTTCCATTAGATTATTTTATAATTCACTGCCTACTTAATCTAGTGATAACAATGGCTATGAATATTTTTTGCATTCTACATAGCAACTTATCCAATGTGTCAAAGTCAATTTTATGCCACTCACTAATAAGTTTTTCCACATTTTTTGCATTAATAACCATTATTTCTTTTAATTTATTCCATAAAAGTCCAATAGGAAAGAGGTCTGGTGATTAGGGAAGCCAAATTATTTTATTCAATACTTAATCATTCTCTAAATCAGTCAACTAACTTATACAATATTTTCAAGATTATGTTTTGGATTTAAACTTTGGATTGTTTTTTTCTAAAAATAAATGGCTTCCCATTAGTTTTTAAGTAGTTTTACCCACTTTAGCATTTTTATTTTATTTGTGATTTTTATCAAAACATTTTAATCAAAATACTTTTGTTTACTAAAATAAATAAAAGTTATCAACTTCAAGCATTAAAAAAAAAAAGTTTATGGAACCAGGAAATTGTTCTCTTTCTCATTTAGTCTTTTATTTGCTTTCAATTAACCCTTAACTTAAATAGTAGTTGCTTGCTTGTTTAAAGCGAATTAGTTTAAAAAAAAGGCACCATGTAAGTTATACGTTATTAGGCACCATGTAAGTTATATGTTATTATCTTATTAGTTACAGGTTATTACATACACACAATGTATGTAAATAATATATTATATAATATATTATAATAATATATTATAAGGAATTCATATATAAGTTATATGCAATAAGTTGTATAATGGGTGATGCAGAAGTTAACGGACAAATTTAACTATTTAAGAATAATAGTTTAATTTTGTGGTTTTATGCGCAGACATAAACATTCTATAAAATATAAACTTTATTATTTGAAACATAATTATTTAAAATGAGGTTAAATGCAGCTGAAAAAAAACCTTTTCAAAAGCGACTCAAAAAATTTTCTTGCAAAAAACCAAACTTAAAAAAAAAAAAAAAAAGGAAGGATTTGCACAAAGTACATTATACGATAGCCTAAAAAGACTTGAAACTGTTCAACCTTTTTCTTATAAAAAACACCCTAGTCATTCAACATCCTGATCTAGAGAAAAGAAAGCAGAATTGGAGAGACTTACCAACAATGAAAAAGAGGTCAGTCAGAGAAAAATAGATTTTAAATTCTGTTTAAATCAATCAATCACAATTAATTCATCAATCTATATTGATGAATGTTTAGAAAAACAACTTCTTCCATTCATTCACAAGTATCATAGAGACTTTAACTATTTATTTTAACCAGATTTAGCAAGTTCTCATTATTCTAAAGATTCTCTATATTGGATGGACCAATATGTCAATTAGGTTGATAAAAAATCTAATCCCCTAAATGTACCTCAAACACGACCAATTAAAAACTTTTGGGGACATTTGGTGCAGAAGGTTTACAAGGGAGATTGGCAAGTTTCAACAAAGCAAGTTTTGATTGATCCAATTAAATTAAAACTATAAGAAATTAATTTAAATTTTTTACAGTCACTTATGAAAGGCGTCAGAGCAAAATTGAGACCAATTGCAGATGGTGGTGTTTTTTCATAAAATAACTTATTTTTATTAAAAGATAAATACATTATTTTATAAAAATATATTAATTATTCAAACCACAAAGTCATTTTTAATTAACAAAAGCTTTTACCAGTTTGCAATTTTCATTTTACAGCTAATTGAAAATTGCAGATTTAGGTAACATTCAGGGGCATACAAATTATTTATTTTTTCGTAATATTTTACATTTCTTGCACGGATTGTTGTTAACAAAAATATAGTATTTACATTATATTATAAATATATATCTTTATATTATATTAATATTGGTTCTTGCTATAATACCAAAAATATACTTATGGTGGATTATATTTTGGACCCACAGATCATCACTATGGAAAACTAGGGTGCTTCATTCCTGACAATTTTTCTGAAAATGGTTACATTACTTGTATAACAGGATAAATAATGGGCAAAAAAACACATCTAGAAGTTACCATCTTTAAAAAAAAAAATTTTTTTCAAACTGTTATCAACTTTAAATTTATTTAACCTAAAAAATAATGAACTTTATGTTATTTAGTGCATATAATAGAGATTATCAGATGAAATTTGGCCAAAAAAATTGGTTAATGTCTAGATGTTGCCGTAATATAAATTTTTGACATAATTTTTATCAAAAATTGTTTTTATAGACTTAATGCCATAAAGGAAGTTTTTGAATTGTATCCAAAATATAATTTTTAGCATGTATGTATATAAAATTTCATAACTTATAAAAGAAAAAGTTAGATGTTATATCAGTTAGCAAAATTGAAATTTTAAAACTCATCTTAAAACTAGTTTATTAGATAACCAAATATTTTATTAAAATGATGAAACAATTCAACAAGTAGAGACAAACACAATTACCAAAAAATCCCATACCAAAAGTATCGTAGACCCATACCTTACCCATAACATACCTTACCCATAACATACCTTACCCATAACATACCTTACCCATAACATATAGTCAAACTAGGCACATAGAAATCCCATAACAATGATATAAAACAACACAATTATATTAGTTTAGTACTAATATTAAACTATACCAGTTAACGCAGCAACACTAGATTCGTCTATCTTCATTGCATGCTGATAAGCCTTTAAACTTTCTTTAATGTTATTTTGAAGCATAAGTTGATAACCAGTCTAATATAATAATTTAAAAATAAAACTTAATTAAGTAAAAACATAAAGCTACGCTTTATGTTTTTACTTAATTAAGTTATGTGTTTTTCATACTTTTTGTACTCGATACTGATCATTTGTTAATTACCTGCCTTAAAGTTCTTTATTTTATTATTCAGACTGAATTAACTAATCAGACTAATTAATTAAATAAATTAATGACTTATAAATCAACTGAATTAATCAGACTAATTGATTAAATAACTTAATGACTCACAGTGGTCATTTTGGGGGTCAAAACCTGCAGAAAATCTAAAACATTTTTTATGTGTTCAAAAAGAGCCGGTATGAACATATTTGAAGTAAAAATTATAAATAACCCAAAAAATTGCTTTAAAAAATAAAATATTCACTTTTTTAAGTTAGATTTGACACTTTGCAATTAATGCTAGATTGCAAAAATGAATTATGTGTCTCATTACCTTAAAGATCAAAATGGATTTATTAAATAGAAGAAATTTCACACAAATATCATATCAAACATGATAATGGCAGAAAACATTTTTACTTAAGCATGAGGAATACCCACAGGGAGATTACCAACCTGCCCATCATGTATGACAGTTTTTAAATGTATTGCTAAAAAAAATTAACACAAATGAGGTTCTAGTTGGTTATATTAGGCACAACATAAGTGCTTACATCAAAGAAAATATTTTTTTACATAGAGTTAAGCATATCAATTTTGTTTGATCTGGTTGAAACTAATAACATTAGATAAATAAAAAAATTGGGAATGTATGAGAATTTTTTTAATTTTTATGAGAGGCTTTGGTTGCTTTGTTTGACTTCTTTATTCTTCTTCTGAATCAGAGGCATCTCTAGAAATTTGAAGTTCCGCCATCTTCAAGAGTTTCTTGATGGGTTCAGGCAAGATCTCTGAGTTGTGCTTCTTTTTCTTGCAGTGGACATAAGCCTAAAAATTATATATAACATTTAATGGATGAAAGAAAATATTGCTATTAAAGCTAAATTGGGAAATTCAAATGAAAAAAGGTCCTGTTTCAGAAATCATTTAAATTAAATAAGCATGAAAAATTATTGAAATTGGAAAAATTTTGGATATGCTTAATTCCAAAATTACCTGTATCTTTGGATCACTGATGTCCATCAGTCTCAAGAAAAGGTCAGACATGCCATTGAGCCAGGATGATTTTTGAGCATGATAAAGACGGATTTTTTGAAGAAATTTGTTGTTAGCCTCTCCTGGTTCCTCATTGGTCATTCCAATTGGAAGAACACAAGCTTCAATGATTTGTTTTCCATGTTTCAGAACCTTGTGAATTGTTGGGGACAACCAGTACCATTTTACATGGTCAAAATAAATCTTCTCAGTCTCTTCACACAGAACTCTAAACTTGTCTGGATCAATGGGATATCCAGATGCAAGGGCAGACCAGAGTGTTCAAAGATTTTCAACCAGTTTGACAGGGACATCACAGATTCTTGCAACAATTTCTAAAAAAGAAAGAAAATATGTAGGAATATACAGATATCAAGATTTGAATTTCTCCAAATTGACAGCAAAGCTATGATGTGATGCTCATGCAACTTGACAAGACATAATATCTAAAAACTAAATTATTTCTGAATGCTTCCCAAAAAGTTTGGTGAAAGTACCAAAACTTGCAAGTGTAGCTACCTGGGTTTTGAAAAGCTTTGCGAGCAACATTTCCTGTTGTTGTAGTGCCAGCACCTCCATCCCGCCTCTGGTCAACAATTAGACCCAGCTGCTCCCGAAATTCTTGCTTGACTCGTGTCTCCCGATTTGCAACCAGTCTTTTTTCATCAGGGCTCATATGAAGATGGAACTTTTTGACATCTTGGCGATATCCAATGTTGCAAATTGTATCAAAACTCCGCAAGCCAAAGTGCAAGATGCTTATTATTTCGAATTTTTACGCTCGCCGACAATTACGATCGCACGCGCACACATGCTTGCGCGAACTTTAAAAGTCAATAAAATAAGCTCCCGCAACTCCCCGCAACAATTTCATGTGTCATTTTAAAGGTCTTTATTTCTTCTTTTCACCTGATTTGGTCCCAATTTGTTGGGATTTGTTGGGAAAAAGTTGCAGCACTGTTTTTGACATGTAGTACACTTTTTTTCTGATGTTTGAAAAAATCATTACTATACATAGCAATATAGTTTTAAAATTTTTTTTTTTTACTTTTCTAATATTTTTTTATATGTATTACTAAAATTATTAAACAAAAATTTGAAAATTTTCACCCATTATTTTCTAAGACCCACTTTAAAAATAGTCATTTTTCAGTAAATTTTTCACTACTTTTTTCCTCCTGTTGTTCTACTCTATTATGGCTCTCCAACTATCCTATTTTTTGATGAATACCATAAATTTAAAAAATCTTTTCATGACACTTTTGGGACTTTCTGCAGATTTTGACCCCAAAAATGACCACTGTGTGACTTTATAATTACTTATATAATTATTATTCAGATTGAATTAACTAATCAGACTAATTAATTAAATAAATTAATGACTTATAAATTAACTAAATTAATCAGACTAATTAATTAAATAAATTAATGACTTTATAATTATTTTAATATAATTAAATAAATTAAATATAATTACTTTGTATTGTCAGTATAATTTAGAGATTTTATTTTTTTTATTGGAATTATATTTCATATAATGAAACAAACTGCCTGATTTTCAATGCATCAAAGTTGCTCCTCCGCATAAAATCCGCATCCTTCAAAGTTGATGAATACGTCAAATATTAATTTGCATGGGCTTTTATCTTAAAAACTTTTAATATATTAAGAATTAGAATGTAAGTTAGACCAAATCACAGAATATTGTTACGAAGGTAACAATCTTAGTCAAGCGTGCAATTATTGTGAAGGTAGCAACGATACTCACTCAAGCGTATAGTTAGAAAGAAACAATACATGATCAAGCGAGGAGATTAATTACGAAAGCATGAAAACATGAGTAGAGACCGTTGAACCGAGACGTGTCTTATGGTTTCGAAAACAATATAAAAAGGGGAACATATATGATTATATAAGAAATATATATGAGGAGAAAATATAAGAAATATATATGAGGAGAATATATGAGGAATATATATGAGGAGAATATATGAGGATATAGAGGATAATATAAGGAATATATATGATAGAGAAGATATATGTGTAGTACAATAGTATGTAATATAGTGGGAGAATTATATAGGAGGATTAGTTGTATCAATACGTAATATTTGAGTTAAATAATAATTATATAACGCTTTGTATCAGTGGTTAGTATTCTACGCGTAACCTTTATTGGAGTTAGGCAATTACCCATTGAGTAATTGGGAAACATTACATAACAGACGCAGACCGACGCGTAGCAATATTCAACTTTGTTCTGCTCCTTTGTTGAAATTTATATTCATCTTTGTTTAACAAGTGTTAAGTGATTTATCAAAACTTTTTTTAATGCTCAAAATATTATATGAATTAAAACTTGTTAAACTCTCCTATAAAAACCATGAAAACTATGAACTATTAACATTAAATTATCTTTCTGATCCCCAACACATGTTTTATTTAATGAAACCTCGCTCTTGGTAGTTCCAAGATGAACAACTCATAGAATAATTATGTAACCTACAATATAGAATTTATATTTAAAAAAGTGTATTACAGCAAAATAAATTTGATGCACTTACCTCATTAAAAAAATCTGCATTTCTAGGTGATAAAGATCGTGCTCGTTCAATTAGAGTTAAAGATTGGTTTAATACATTTTTGTTTCTTCCACACTAAATAAGAGTGAAGAGTTTTTTTAATGACCATTATATATAACTTTTTTATAACCATTAAAGATCTTTTTGAAGGTTTTCATAAATAAAAAACTAATCTTTTTAAATGAAGAAAAAAACTTACCATTCGAGCATAAGTCTTTCCAAATGAAGCATACAAAAAAGGATTCTTAGGTTCTCTTCTGTCTAAAACCTGGATTAGACGTGTGATTTTTTCTATGGCCTGAAAATATTCAACAGATGATAAAACTTATATATAGCATAAAATAAAGTCTTTGAAAAACACACAGCATTTGTAAAATATTTTTAAAACAAATAGTTTTTTTTAGTAAATATTTTTAATCAATCGTCAAGAAAAAAAAAACAACTTAAAACTAACTTCATTATAATTAGACTTTTGAGAAACAAGTTCGAGAATTACCAAATGCAAAGCCTCAATATTTTGGCTATCCAAAATAAATACTCTATGTAAAAAATTAAAAAAATATAAATAAAAAGTAAAAAATCATCTTTGATGAAAACATTAAATCAATATTTACTTTTGCTTTTAAAAATGACTTATTAGAAATTACTCTATACTGTCTTTAAGTAATTTGAAATATAATATTTTGTATAAATTTTACACAAAAATACCTTTCAGATGTTTCCAAAACCTGTTCCCAGTCTTGTAGAGCTAGTTGGATCTTCATTTTTTCGACAAGTCCGGGATAAAAGTCTGGATAAATGACAATTAGCTAAAATCAAAAAAAAAATAAAACTCCTTACATGTAAGGGTAACCTGAAGAAATATTGAGGCTACAACAGTTATTGTTTATGAATATAAAAACTAGTTATTCAAATACATAATCAGAATTTTGTATTTGAATAACTAGTTTTTAGAAGTGTACAACCAAAGACTCAGTCTGCACAAAATTTTTAAAACAAGACAGGCACCACTACCCCTTTTTACAAGTATTATTTTATATATATGTGTGTTTTATAGATTTATGAATATGTATATATCTATGTTATATCTACCTGTGTATCAATGTTATATCAACCATTACTTTCGCTTCTTAATAGGCTATTTCATTTTCTTCTTTAATTTCTTATTAAATTCCTTATTTTATTTAATTCAATAACTTTTTAATTATTCCTAATTTATTTTCCTTTATCCTTTTTTTTTTTTTTTTTACTATTTGTTCTAACCCCTGTATATTATTTATTTATTGATGTAAAATGTAACTTACTTGTTATAAAATTTGTGTTCGATTTACATAAAATGATGTCAAATATAACAAACATTGGACAAAATATACCTGGTTGACAAGCTCCAATGCTTCAGTAAAATTATTTTTTATTTTCAAATACTCAATCTATAAAATAACATCAAAAATACTTACAAAAAAATAAATTTTTATATAAAGTTACAAAACATTAATCAATCATAGTTTAAATTTTAAAAAAGTGAATGATACTTTACTTTTTTATATTTAAACTCTTAAATATCTTAAAACATTAAAAAGTTAATATTACGCATATTTAATATTTACACATTGCATCTGTTTTATCTCTAAAATGCAATAAAAAAAAATTCATATTTTTCGATACGTCTCTTTTCTATAATGGGTTTCAACACAATGACATATACACCTTTTTTAAAAAAATAATAACTCATTAATTATAAATAATTGAAGCATAATACTTTAAGATACATGGATAATATTCCATAGTTTTTACTGTCCAAATTTCTCATTTTTGGCAAAAATGGACATACATCCCTTTTTTATAAAATGGGTGCTGACCTGCTAAAACTAGCAAGCATTGTCCCTATATTTAAAATATTATATTCTTTCTCTTCAAACCACTCATGATCTTTAAACCACTAAATCAGGGGAAAATGTAACTATATACCCTTTCTGCCTCATTACCTAACTCCATAGCACCACTCCAATCTCAATTTTAAACCATAAAGTGGTAGTTAGTTAGTTTTTAGTTAGGTTATTTTTTAACAAGTACTTCTTTTAGTAGTACCATCAACACCTCATTGTTTATCTATTTTGCATTACAGTGTATGATTAGGTGTACTCTGTCCTTAAGTGTACCCTTAAGGAGATGGTTATCTTGCTAAGTTAGAATATTTGATTTTTACATAACCAAATTTTTTTTATACACTGTATTTTTTCTGTGATTATTGATTATATGATTCAGTGCTCAATGAATTATATCCTTATATGTTTGTTTGACAAGATAAAGTAAAAATCTACATAATGCTTAATACTAAAAATTGCATAAGCAATTATCAGGTAAAAAATACATTATGTTGTTTTTGTTATTATTTTAAAAAATAACAAAAAAATTTTTGTTTTTTGTTTAAATTAACACAGGCATTTCATTTAAATTAACAATACATGATTTACTAATTTTTAAAAACTCACTGCTTTGATACAATTTAGTAATTATGAAGTCCTAAAAAGAGCATCAGTTAGAAGTTAAATATAGGAGTCTTCTCTTCAAAGCACTAAAAACTTTTTTAAAAAAGATTTTTTTATTATGATTTATTAAGACTTATTATTATTATTTATTAGACTTTCTTATGCTGATTTCAAGAAGAAAAAAAAGGGTGTACTCATAGAGATGTTGCAAAATAATTTTGTTCATAGCAACAATTGTTAGCAACAGATGTTAAATTTTTTATTAGTATATTGTATTAGGAACTTGCTCCATTATTAAAATATATTTAATAGTTGAAGTATTAACTCTTTTAAATACTTCATGAATGAAACAATGAGCTGAATTAATATTGTGTGGCAGGTAAAAGTGGGATTCTTTGCTTGAAGAATTTCATAAAATTATTTCTAAATTTCAAACATGCCTAACTAGCTCAGGACAAAATGAAAAATATTTTTCTGATTACATTTTGTCTGGTTAAAATTAAGAAATAAATTGAAATTTGAAAAAACGAAGAAGCTTTGCAGTGGTGGTAGAGTAGTAGTAGTAGTGGTAGTAGTCCCAGAGCACTCACTTGGTAAACAAAAATATTTGAGTTCAATCAATAGCACATCCCTGGTCACACTTATCATGTTTTTTGCCCAGCAATCTTGTTTGGAACTTAAACAGCTGTTACATGTTATAATGAATTAAAATACAATGAATAAAATAAAACTATTTACAATAATTAATCTTTTTTTACAGTCAAGTAATTTATATTTTCTTTTTATAGCTAGCTATTAAAAAATGGTTTTCAGAAAATACTACTTATAATAACAAAAATTGAAATAAAATGAACTTAATTTTTTTTTTAATTTACAATATCAAAATTGTCTAAAGAAATCATGGTTAGAAAGGTTTTATTTTATTTTTTTATTTTTTATTTTTATTTTTATTGTGATTACTTATAAAATGTTAACTGTCATTTATAGTTATTTATAATTAGAATCATGTGTTTTTTAGACAATTTTGTAATTTAAAAATCAATATAAATGCAGAACATGGCATCATTTAATAATTTTTGTCTATTTGGCAAATTTAAAACAACTATTGACAACTAAAGTTAAATTGATTAATGTAAGTATTATTAAATAAATCTTTATTAAATGAGAAAAAAATCTATTCAATAAAATGTTTCCTAATTAACACCAATTTTTGAAAAACATTTAAATTTCTTAAATTTAAAAACATATAATTGATAAGGATCCCAGTTAAATATCAGATTCAGACAGTTACTACCTTTCATTAAACATATATCCACTTATTCCTCTATTAGTATGATATTATTATGATAAAACTTTAATTGGTAAATAAAAAAGATAACATAATGATAAATATGGTACTGAAATAATAAATAATAATGCAAACTACAATAAAATACCTTTCCTAACAGAGCGTCAATTTCTTTTACAGAGCTAAATGAAACAATTAGTCAAATAATAAATTTCATTCAGTTAAATAAAAATTTAAAGTATACAAAAAAATATAATTATACATCTATATATGAATCTGCGTTTTTACGGACGATTAGTAACATTTTAAAAATGCTAAACTGTTTATAAAGTACCTACTTGTAAATGTTACTGAACTTTTTAATATTACTTGAATTTCCGTTCTATTTTTCCTATATGCATTTCTACTTCAGTTAAAATTTAGGATTCAGTTAAAATTTTGGACTTTTTTAATTCATTTTTTATTTGTAATACCTTGATTAAGTGCTGTTTGAAGAAACTATAAATTATAAATGTTATAAGTGTGTTATAAAGGTAATAAAACTATTATTGTGTTATTACTTTTATAACACAGTTAGTTACTATGATGTTATTACCTTTGTAGTCATAAGTTTTCTTTATTTTTATAACTTTATTGCTAACAAGTTTACTCGCTCCAAGAAAACAAAGCACACGGTTTTGCATAAACTAAAATTTTAAAGACCAGATATTTTTCCAGATATCGCAATTCTTGATATCTTAGTTCAACATTAGTAATTCATTTTTAATTAAACATTTCTTATTAGCGGTCTTAGTAGTCAGTCATTTCTGTTTTTTTACCTGAGAAAAAAACCCTGAAAAATTAGTGTTGTTATCAACTTCAATAGACAAAAAGTTGAGTAGTTGAAAGTCTAAAACCAATATTATTAGTCAACTTTGAAAGTCGAAAATAGTCGACTTTGAAAAACCGAATATAGTTAATTTAATCAACAATGAATTTCCTACTAAATGACTAAAGTTTTTTATTCAATTTAATTTATTCAACTTTTAATTTTTTTTTTATGTTCATTTGATAACAATATCATGTACTGTTATAACTCTTAAATGTTACCTAGGTAACATGTAATACCTTTTAGTTTACTTCTTGTTATCTTAAATGTTGCCTGGCTTTTAGTTTATTATTTGTTATCTTTAATGTTACCTAGCTTTTAGTTTATTATTTGTTATCTTTAATGTTGCCTAGCTTTTAGTTTACTTCTTGTTATCTTAAAATTTTATCTAACTCATAGTATGTTATCATTATTTATATCTTATAAAACGTTTATGCATTTCATTAATTTTTGTTTTGTTTATTCTATGCTTGTAATTTTCTTAAATACTTTTATATAGGGCAGTCCGAGTTGAATCAGGGCCCTGGGGGAAAATTAAATTGTGAAGCTCCAAAACCTAAATATCTTACAATCATAAAACCTAAACATCTTGCAATCCTAAAAGCTAAATGCCTCACAATGTGAAGTTCTCAAAATGTGAAATGCTCCAAAACCTAAATGTCTTACAATATGAAGCTCCAAAACCAAAATTTATTACTATCTTATCAATCTAGAAAAATATTAGATTTTAGGAATAAATTGTCTTGTCGTCTGAGTGGCCGTACTTTTATATTGTTTTGTTCTATTAATATTTAAATGATTACAATTTATTTTGAAAAATATTTTTAATCACATATTTTGAATAAAATATTTGAATATATAAGTCAATTTAGTTGACGATACTTGAAAGTTGTAACAACTCTATCAACTCTACAAAAAAAAATTTAAAAATTGAATTACTGATTATTATTGTGGACGACTCAAATAATATGATATTTCAGTTGCCAGCAAGGCAACAAGGAAAAAACTTGAGCTTCAACTTGATATATATATATATATACATATATATATATATATATATATATATATATATATATATATATATATATATATATATATATATATATATATATATATATATTATTTTTAATTCTAAATATAAAAATATCACTATAGAGTTCCTACTTAATATCTAATAATTAAATAGAGTACCTACCCACTCAATACTTCATCAAAGTACTTGATAGACTTTTTCACATACTGGTCTTTTGAACTTCGCATATCAATCCATCCTTTAAGGATCAAGCCCTTTAATAATAAAATAAATAAATAAAATTTTATTATGAATTCGTTCAAAATTTAAAATAAAAAAGTTATAAAAAGCTCTGAAAAGTGCATACAAAATATGACTTTACAACTTTAAAAGTATGAGACTTGTTCAATTTCACTCATTTAAAACAAAATGTAGCTTTTGGAACAACAACATTACATATTTATAAATTTTTATCTTATTTATGTTACAAATTTTATTTTTATAGGTTATAAGACTTTTTAATTAAACATTAAAATTTATGTTTCTTTAATGTTTAATGTTTTAATGCTTTCACTATATACTGTCACTTTTCATTCCATTGAGGAATCTTGTGAATAACACCGAATTGTTAAATGCTAATTGAAATATTTATTATAAAAGTTTTTGTTATCAAAACGCTTTTTATCTAATTTTAAGAAAATCAGCTATTAATAAAAGTAAGAAAACGGGATAACTATGAATGTGGTTGTTGTCATCATCAAAATCTTATGCTTTTTTTTTTCTTTTCTCTTTATTGTATCATTTCTTAGCACACTCTTTCACTCTCAGTTTTCCTACCTAAGACTCCATATCCTAAAGGTCTGTGTTTAAAACCATGCTCTCTAGTACTCTGCTTGATTCTAAAGGTTTTAGGTTGAATTTCAAAAGACAAGGTTTTTTATCAGATTCTATTGATACGAATAGGTATGAGCAGGAATGTGTTGAAAATAAAATCCTAAGTGTTTCTTCTTGGTCCAAAATTTATATTTTTCAAAATCCAGAAAATAGTGTTAAAAAACTATATCATTTTTTAGAAAGCCGTTTTGAAAGACTTGCATCCTAGATTTAGTTTTATTGGTCGTTGAGGTGAGGATAAATGAATTGTAAGTAAAGTCACTAAGGCAATAAATGGGATAAGCAGATATAAGCATGGGTTGAGACCATCCACCTAACATTCTGAACTGCCTAAAAAGATACTCATTAGGTGCAATTTTCTTATGTAGACTAGGCAATTTTCTTATGTAGACTAGTTATAAAGTTAAGAGAGGGTTATAACCACAATTAAGTAGTCTCCTCATCTGTAGTAGTTTTCTTGACCTTGGGGAAGTGAATAAACAAAGCAAAAAAAAAATTAATATAATAACTGTAACTAATATTTTTGTAAACTATAATAGCAACAGTATATAAAAAAGACAACTTTTAGCCTTTTATATACAGTGTTAAAAACAAGGGGGAAAAACTTCCTTGCGCTAGCGTATATTATCACTATAGTCATGTTTATTTATGTTTTACTTTTTTTTCCAAAACATAAAAGTTTGGGAAAAAAAAATTACAAATTAAAAATAGAATACCTGAACAGAACTACTATTCATTTTCAGCATTCTATCAATATACTCTCTCGCTTTGTCTGCTCGGCTGTTGTGAAACAAAAACATACTACCAAAAAAAAGAGCAGTCTCACTACATTGAGTTCTTTCTGCTTTTAATTTTGCTTCCAGTTGCTGAACAACTGCTTTATCAACATTTTTAGCTCGCTTATTAGCAACAATTAGTGCCATCAATGAACATATTATGACATCAGGTTTATCTTTAATTGATTGCAACTCATAGATTGCTTCAGTTATGTTGTCTATAATAAAAAAAATATATATATATAAATATATATATATATATATATATATATCTATATATATATATATATATATCTATATATATATATATATATATATATATATATATATATATATATATATATATATATATATATATATATATATATTTATATATATTATATATAAATAAATATAGAAATATTTAAACGTATATATAAATATATATAATTATATATATATTATAAATAAATAAATATAGAAATATTTACATATATATATTTATATATATTATAGATAAATAAATATATAAATATTTAAACATATATATAAATATATATTTACTTATATATATTATATATAAATAACTATATAAATATTTAAACATATAA